CATCAGGCTGGAAGAAAATGAAAGCAGTTGATAACTCAAATTCACACATAGAAATAAAAAGCACTAGAAAAGGTAAACACATAGGTAAATATTAAAGGTATAAATGTGTATATTTTCTCTTTCCTTTAACTGATTTTAAAGACATAAAATTACATAAAATTATAAACTGTATTGTTATTATTATAAGCTGTATTATAAAAAAATCTAATATGTTATGACAATAATAGCATTAAAGAGCAAGGAGGAAATAGGCCTGTATTAAAGGAAAGTTTTCATATTTTACCAAAATTGTTAGTATTAATGTGAACAGATTTTGATAAGTTAAGATTCATGTTATAATCTCTGGAACAAACACTAAGAAAATAACTCAAAAAATATAGTAAGAATACCAGCAGAGGGATTAAAATGGTACACTAGAAAATATCTGTTTACCCCCAAACAATTTCAGCCTCATTGAATCCTCATATTATCACTGTGAGAGAGAAATTATTACACCATTTTAAAGATGAAGGAACTGACACTCAGAGGAGAACTTGCATATACTAAAAAGTGCCAGAGATGAGATTCGTATGCAGAGGTTAAGCCCTTGTGTGTAACCACTATGCCATCGTGCCCCTCAGGTGCCCTGTGAGGGTCAGAACCAGGAGACACCAGGCTCCGATATCAGAGTCTTAAAGACACTGCTACCAGTCAGGTTCAGGTGCTGCAATTCTGAGGACAGAGTAGAGACAACATGCCTGCCCGCTACACACTCATCAAAGGTCAGGGAGACAGAGCCTGAGGTGGGCCTGGGCAGTTGGACAATGGTTCTTTTTTCCTCCTGTTAGAGCTGAATTGTGTGTGGCTTTGAATTGAGACAGAGAACGAATCAGTAACTTTTTTTCATTATGAAACCATGTTAAATTTATGTCAATTTTTTGGAGGATTTCAAAGGCTAAGGTTTAGTAATTTGGATTTTCTATGTTGTTTGATCTTAATCTTCTTTAAAAGATAATCCCAAATTAGAAAACAAAGAAAAGCTGCAGTTGTTATATAAGTAGTATCTGGTGGCTTTTTTTCCCCTGAGGACTTGACCAGTTATGTGAGCCATTAATCAGCTGATCTCATACACCCAAAGCCAGCCAAGGATCAGACACTCATGTGGAGCTATTTGGGACAGATTTCTAAGAAGGAATTCTAGCCTATCATACTCCTGATGTTTTGGTCATCTTTTCCCTTGTAACAAACTACTCCAAAACTTTATGGCTTAAAGCAGTAACCATGTTATTATCTTTAATGGTTCTGTGAGCTGTGCTCTCTGGACTCAGTGGGGTGGTCCTTTTGAGACATGTAACTTTTGGCTGGGGCTGCAAACATCTGAAGGCACAATTGGGTTGGACCATCCAAGATGGCTCATTCACATGGCTAGACGTTGACCTGGGCTATTGACTGAGCTCAGTTCTCATCCATGTGGCCTCTCCACATATTTTGAGCATTTCCCAGCATAGCAGCTGGATTCTTAGAGCATCCCAAGAACAAATGTTCTAAGAGGGAGGAAGTAGACACTTCCAACCTCCTTGAGGTGTAGGCTTGGAAGTTCCAGAATGCCACTCCTACCATATTGTATTGGTAGAAGGAGTCCCAGGGTCACCCCAGATTCAAGGGGAAAATCAGGTCCACCTCTTGATGTGAGGAGTAGCATATGCCTACAGGGAGGGAAGGAATCATTGGGCCCATCTCTGGAGACTAGCTACCACACTGGATCATTTAGTCCTACAGCCAGACAGAGCTCTGCTCACCACCACGCAACTGTGAGGAATGTAAGGAATCAGAGCGGCTCTTCAGGCTGAGCCAGAAAACATGCTTAGAGGGCTGGTGAACAGTCAGAGTCCTCCCACCTTTTGAACATCCTTGCACTGTTCCTCGCCATCCCACCAGGCAGAGGTGAGAACATGAATGGGCAGATATGTGGTTGCACGTGTGGTGGGTCATATTTTAGTGAATTAGCAGGGATCACCATTGGATCTAACAGCTTTCTTTTCTTGCTGCTTTGGAGGGTCCTTCACTCTTCCCAGGGCTTATTGGGATTTTCACCAGCTCCCTGCAACCAAGGGATCTCTAGAGAGACTGCCCAGTGGTGCCGACATGTGTTGTGTGGAACCTCTCCTTTCATACTTGCTTCATCTAGAATGAGAGTTCACCAGACTCTAGGATGTTCCTTAAATAGTGAACCAAGAACCCGAGGGAATAAAAGATATATTCGTGGTGCGGAATCCTATTTTAGCTAACTCATTTATGAGAATTTTGGCATGTTCTAAGCCACCCTTCTAATGTTATATGTTCCGGGGGAAAATAGTACTGGCCCTGCCAACTAAACAGGGCACCTGTGAACCCCCATGAGAATGCATGCATGAAAACGGTTAACTGGTACCACCGTGCCCTGGTTAGGAGCTATAGCCTTGGAATAGCTGAATGCATGAGGGAAGGAAAATTCCACACTGGTGAGGAGAATCTAAGCATTTGATTTCTGTTGTGATAGCCAGCCCGGAGATTGCTGACTTCCATAAAGAAGAGTATAAAAATCTTTCTCCAGGGTAACATTTTATAATCCCTTGTCTATTTCATCATTTCTCCGAGTACCGAACCCCCCTTGCCAGCAATAGGAGTGAGAGAAATATTATTAAGAGAAATGGGAGCATCAGCCTGCACTGTGACCTTCACCCTTTAGCTGGAATGTGATTTTTTCCTTGTGAGTTCTGGCATTTTATGAGATTCTTCCCATAAACACTCAAGTACTTGAGTCCTGTACACATATCCAGCTTCACTGTATCCGATACATGCCCTGAATCCCACAGACCTGCACATCACCGGGAAAGCCGTGGCATGCAGGTTATCCCATGTGACTGTTTAACAAATCACAAAGCATAGGAGTCTGGAGAAACAGCATAAACAAACATTAACTAAACCAGAGGTCTGTGATTCCAGACCTCTGGCAGTTAAGCAGTAAATCCAGAAAAAATTTCCAACATCAAGAGATGATCCCTTTATTGAAACTTCCCCAAGGCTAATACTTTGTAATTGAAAATACCATATAAAGGTGGCCTATGTTTGTCATTGTGACCCTTGTGTCCACAATTTTAATGAACTAGGACGAGAACAGAAAGAAACTGTCTTGTCATATTTTAGAAGTGGTCTGACATTGTTCAAGGCAAGGCTCTTTTAGTTGTAAGTGACAGAAACCCAACTCACTCATTCATTCATTCACTCACTCATTTATTCATTCAGCAAATATTGTTAGGCTCCTACTGTGTGCCAGGCACTTGTTTAAGGTGCTGGGGACCTGGCAGTGAAGAGACTAAATAAAAATGCTAGTCTTGTTTGGAGGTGGGGGGGAGAGGGATAGACAATAACCAAGTTGACAAATATATAATATAATTCTGGCGTTGTGAAAAATATAAATAGAGTGCTGTGATAGTGATTGGAATAGCCTTCCAAAATTGAGTAATTAGGGAAAGGCCTCTCTTTTAGGTGACATTTGAGCTAAGACCTGAGTTTTGAGAAGTCATTTAGGCAGAGATTTGAGGGAAGAATTGTTCAGAAAACAAAAAGTGTGAAGGGACTGAAGGAAGAAATCAGCTGTGGTAGCCGGATTCCAAGATGGCCCCCGATGATCTTTATCTCCTGGTATTCAAGGCTGTGTGTAGTCCCCTCTCACACTCAGTAAGGTTGACCTGTGTTACCATTAAAGAATTGTGAACATGAAGGTATGTGGCCTTTGAGGGCCTTGCTCCCTTGGATTCCTCCCTCTGCGGGAAGCCTGCTGCCATGTCATGAGGACACTCAAGCAGCTCTATGGCAGCCGCCTACCAACAGCCAGCACCAGCTTGCCAGGCATATGAGCCAGGACTGTGGAAGCAAGCCAAGTCTTCAGATCACTGAAGTTCCCAGCAACATCTTGACAGCAGCCCTACGCCACAATCCCCAGCTAAGCCACTGCCAGTCTTGGCCCATAGAAAGTATATGAGATGATAAACCTTTATTGCTCTGGTCCACGAAGTTATACAGAAACAGATAACTAATACATGAGGTTGAGATGCTGGAGGAAGCCAGGAACATAGAATCGTGGTACCAGATAAAATCAGCGACCCAGACACAGAGCCCAGAGCACCTGAGTGCTTCCTGTGGTTAAAATTTATTTTAATCTAAGTGTGATGACAAAAGACTGGTGTGAAATTATCTACCTTTTCAGAAGAAATATTTTGGTACGTGGTGTTTATTATCTCACATAAACACAAATTTTCGGATCAAATGTACATAACTGGTTCTCAAACAATATCATCAGAATTCTGCCTCTCACCTTCTCCAGCCTCAGGTTTTCTCTCTGTTGGCTTCATCCTCAGACAGGCTCTCTCTATGTAGCTTGGGGGATGCCCAGAAGTATCTCCAGGTTTACTTTGACTATAAATCTGGCAAATGCAGGAAAGAAAGTGCAACCTCTCTTGTTTCCCAGTGGAAAGAACTCAGATGGACCCTGCTTGAGTCACATGACCACTGGGTTGATTATTGGGGTGATGGCCATCCTAGATAACAGGGACCACATAATTGACCCTGCCAGAAGCCTAGGGAGAAGGGGAGGGTCAGTTTCCAAAAGAAAAGGACGCAAGTGAGGAAAAAATAAATTAGCCAATGCCCACTATGGACAAGTAGAAATGGGACAGAGGCCTTGCAGTTTTTGTGCTGCTGAATGAACGATATAGGGTCTTTGGGATTTAATCATCATTGACCTGTGAGTACCAAAGCAAACACCTAGGCTGATAAGCGTGGTGGCTGTCAAAGTAAGAAGAGACCTCATGGAAAGGCAAGTGAACTAGTATTGCTAACTCTAGTTAGTGCAAGCAGCATAGTTGCCTGCCTCTCCTGGGGGCTACTAGGACTAGGGCAGGCCTTTGGACTTTGCAAGTCACTCTCAGACACATCTTCTGCTGAGTCAAATTTCATGCTACCTCTTCCTTTTGTTGCAGGGACTACTTGTGGCCTTGCAGTATTGCTTTGCCAATGGAGAGGTACGTTTGCCATGCTGCCGTTCTAGCTTCCTGTGGGGCTGGGCTGGCATCCTACTACCCCCGGGGGTTTCTGTTTATATGATGGTGCCATGCGGGAGTGTGCAGTGACCAGCATGCGTTGGGACAAATCTGGACTGTGAACGTCCAGTGGGGAGAGCAGGAGGCAGCTTAGACGAATGGGAAAAGGAACTGGGATGAGTGTAAGGAATCTCAGAACCCGATCCTGGTCCTGCGAGAGACATGCTGAGAGTGTTAGTGTGATCTTGAGCTTTGGAGTCCAAAAATCTGGATTCAAGCTGTGACTCACCCACTAAGGAGCTCTGAGTTAGTCAGGTCACTATGGTTGTTTGAGTCTCAGTTTCTTCATCTGTAGAATGGGAATAATAACTGTACCTACCCTCTAGTGTTGCCCTGGGCATGCTGAGCTCATGGTAAAGGCCTAATGCCTGGTAACTATGACTATTTTTATTATTCTTATAGCATAGCCCCAAGCAGCTCTCTGCTTCTCTGAAAAGAGGCTTGAAATGGGCAGGGGCAGAGGCCAAAACAGTTTTCTCTTGACCTTAGAAGCTGGTGGAATTTCCAGCCTCCTTTCACTTGCTCCTTCTCCCATCCCAGGCTTGAGTATTTATTCCCATCTCTTCCCACTAGAATGTAAGCTTCTTGACAGCAAACCCTCCTCCATCTTGTTCACTGCGGCTTCTTCTATATCTTCATGCAGGGGCTCCTTAATCCATCACGGGTCTCAAATGCCATCTCAGCACAGCCCTTTCCTTTTTTCCCCTGTTCAACCATATCTCATTTTTGTCTCCTTCCCCCATCGTCCTGCATCGTGACCTCGCAGTGTCACTATCACTTGCTCTGCTCACATGCATTTGCTTCCCTTTGTTCATCTCCCCAGTTAGAAGGTAAATTTCCCAGGGGTGGCACAGAGTAGCCACTCAATAAATATTTGCTGAGTGGACCCACAACCAAATGACTCCAAGACAGTAACCTGCCCTCTTCTCACCTGGCAGGTGAAGGCCGAGCTGTGGAAGCACTGGGTCCGCTTCCAGCTAGCCCACCACTTGGGCTGCAGAACCTGGGTTCTTGAAAAGAACTTCCGATTCCTGGGGAAATGTCCCAAGAAGCTTTCCACAGGAAACAGCACCAGGACGCTGCAGAAGCCGCAGCCCTCACCTGGCAGTGGGAAGATCCTGCAGTTGCCCATGCGGGGCCTTGGGGAGCTGGGCACCCGGCCCCATCAGGGCCATACAGCCTGGCCCTGGGGCAGAAGCCTATCTGAGAGCAGCGAGGGAGACTTCACCCTGGCCCACACCATGGAGGAGATTCTCGAGGAGAGTGAGATCTAGGCAAGATGTCCTCGCTCTGGCTCTGCTCCTTGGGAACTCCTGAGACAAGTGTGGGAGGCAGAGGCCAAGCCAGACGAGTGTTGTGGGGTGAAGCCATTACTCCCCCATGCACCAGGCCCACTCTGTCATGAAGTCTGTCTTGAGGTTCTTCATGGTCCGTATGAAAGAGGCTGTGTAAACACTCACCGCTTCTGCCTGCCATTGTCATCCTAATAACCTCCACCAGTGTGTTTTTCAAGAATGACCACCAGCCTCTAGGGCTGGCTCCAAATTCAAGTGAATGGAGCCCCAAGATACAGAAAGAGGTCTGCTATGAAATAGAGGCCAGTATCTCTTTCTTTACGCTATACTGCATAAGGTTTCCATTTGAACTTCGGGGCCACCTGGAAAGGGTTTTAAATGCAGAATCCGACTCATGGCAGAGATTCTAAGAGCCTTCGTCTGGGATGATGGCTAGCAATGGGAGTTGTGTAGCAGGCATCCTAGGTAACTCTGATGCAAGCTCAGGGTGCGCAGGAGCTAGGGGTCCCCCTGAGCTGGCCAATTGTGGGATGCGCTGGTGGTTTTCTGCTTCAGCAGCTCAGCTGTGACACGCCTGCCCACCTCGGACAGTGTAGTAGTGCACACTGCCCATCAGAGCCCCACCCCTTTCCTTCTTCTCTCCTCTTCCTCTCTTGTCAAGCCTTTCCTCGCTCTTTCCATCTCAAGTCTTCATCCACGGTCAGCAGAAATTCTCTTTGATCTGTAACAATCCCAGCCCTCCTCTGAGGTTTGGCCCCAGCTCCCAGGGCCCCTCCGAAAGTCGCCATTGGTCCTTTCCTCTCCTTTCCGGCTCCACCTGCCTTTCTGAGCTTGGCTTCCTCAAGCCTTGCTTGCCTTAGCATTCTCCTCCATGTTTGGTTGGCCATGGACACATTGGTGGCTGTACCTCCTACACCAGGAGGCTGCTCCACTAACCTCTCTGACCCTAGTCCCCGCTGATAAGAATTCCACTCCCCTGTGGAAATGGATGCTGAACACTGGAGGGGCCCAGGTAAAGTGATAGGACTGTGGCTAATCTGGACATGCTGAACTATGCACTAAGATGGCCAGGCCTGTGGGACCCATTCTGCCAATGGGGAACCTGAGCTTTGCTCCAGCCCCTAAGTGGAGGGTGTTGCTGCAGGCTGAGGAGGGCACAGGCGATTAGGGTCAGGCTCAGTGGCTAAACTGTAAGGCAAGAGGCTGAAGGAAGATCAAGGGAGGAACATCCTATGGAAACACGGTGTAAATGCTCAGGAGTGTCGCTTTTATAGTGTGTAAAACGTATGTGTATGCAGGTGGGGTATGTTGCTATGGGACTAAATACTGCTTCATATTAGAGGGCAGTGATATGATACTTCTCAAGTAGGGTTGCCAGATTTTAGCAAATAAAAATACAGGATGCTCAATTCAATTTGAATTCCAGATAAACAAATAACCTTGTTATATAAGCCTATTCCGTGGGACAATATTTCACCTAAAATTCAGTTTTAATTGTGCATCCTGGATTTTACCTGGTAACCTTATTTTCAAGGATACTTTGCAGTAGGACTGGAACTAGAGGCAAGTAAGGGTGCAAAATTTAAGAGAGCACTAATAAAACCCCTCAGTTGTCAAGATCAGTAATATTTTAATGCAATATTTAAAAAAAATGAAATCTGCAAACTACAGCCCACGGGCCATTTATCCAAATAATGTTCTATTGGAACTGGGGCTGTGATGAGGGTGAGGCAAGTGAGGCCAGCTCATGCGAGTGCATAGTCTGATCCTGGCTTAATTTAACATTTTGATATTTGGCTCATTATGAACTTTTTAACATTAGTTTTTATTTTTACACTATTGCATTAAAATAGTATTTATTTTGATTATAGAGGTTTTTGGTTTTTTTCCCCCACCCCTTAAATTTTGCATCTGAGGCAAGTGCCCGTCTTGTCCTCGCTCTAGGCCTGCATCTGCTTTGCAGAAGGAGAGACTGAAGCAAAGGTATTAGGCAAGTGCAAAATGAAGTAAAGGCTTATTTGTTGGTGTCCAGATTATCCATAATTCAATCATTAAATCACATGTCCTTCTAACGTTGCCTTTCTGCAAATGCCCCTGCATTTTCTCGTCAGCCTATCAGCTCCTAGAAAGCTGAGGCTATGTCATATTCCCAGCTTGCACCCAGCACAGCTGGTTCAGAGTAGGTGCTCAGTACACAGACATTGGATGAGACAACACAGAAATGTCTCAGCAGCATTAGATGCTGTTGGAGGTCAGTTATTCAGGACCCTGTCATTAATAGAAGAAGGAAGGTTTTTTTTCATAGCATTTGTATAATAAATATGTCCTTCTTCCCTCACTCTATAAAAAGAGTGGCACACACACACTGCTGGCTCTTGTCCTGCCAATGATTAAAGTAACAAGTGTATTTAATTTGATTTGTATTTGTTGATTTCACATTTGTTTCTCACTAGAGCTAAAGGTCTCTCCTGCCCAGGAGAATCTGGTGCCTTGTTCCTGGCACTAAGGAACCTCTTGGTGAATCTGTGGGGGATACCTCCTGGGGATGCCAAGACATACCTGAGGAACACCGCACAAGAGGCTGGGTTCCTGTGAGAGCAGGTGGCAATAGGAGCTAGGGCAGTTTGGCTTATTGTTCTTGATGAGATCTATTTCTGTCCTTGAGTTTACATGTACATGAGGAAGCAGAAATTCAGGGGTGAAGTGACTTCCCAAAGTCTCCGCAGTAGACATCTATTTTTATAATTCACCTCTCTTATAGTAGTAGTACCCAAATTTTCCTCTTGGAAACCATATATCTCCTACTCTCAGTTTATAAAGTTTGCATCATCCCAACTCTGTCCTCAGCCCCAAGGATGGGCATGAAAATTTGCCTGGCCAGTCTGAGTATGACAGCCTCCTGGCACCAAATATTGGATCAGGGATGAGCATATAACCAATCAGAGCCAATTGGAGACAGTCCTGAGACTTTGGCTAGGACTCTCAAGTTCACTTTCCACAAAGAACAGTACTTTCTGGTGGTGTTGATTGTGCCATCAATTTGGCTAAAGCTTGTGGATGGGATTACCCCTAACACCAGCAAGAGGAGACCCCCGCCTGCTTCAGGGGGTTGCACACAGGTTGGTCAAGGGTCCAGAACATCTAGATATTTTTCTGACCTCATCTTGGAACTTAAGGCTGGAGAAGAAATGGGCCTTCAAAACAATGACTTTGATATTCTTGAGAACCTAAGGGTGGAGCGATTTCTGAGGTACTGCAGGCCCTGGAGCTCTGAAAAGGCAGTGTGGGCCAGTGGGCAGGCCTGGCCTGGCTCTGCTCATAAGCTGGCTGACCCTGGGCTGGCTGCTTGCGTCTCTGGGCCTCCTTTTCCTGTCTCTAAAATGAGGGACCTCCAGCACATCTGCCTTCACCTATCACCATATCAGTATTGAACTTGTCGTTGTCCCTGAAACCAGCAACTCTCCGTTTTCCAGCTCAGCAGATGACATCACCCAAGCCACAAACATGGCTGCCATCCTTGTTCCTCCTCCCCTGCCCGCAGCCGGTCAGGTAGATTCTGCCTCCCAAATATCTCCAGAGCGGTCTCCTTCTCTCCATTCCACGGCCATTCACCTGGCCCAGGCCACCTGGGTGACTATTGAAGTATCACCTCCGGTCACCCTGCCCCCACTCATGCCCCTCTGATTTGGTTTCACTCAGCCACAGGGCTTTATTACCAACACAGATCCTTCTTACTCCGAGCCCCACAATGGCATCCACTACCCCCACGGTAACACGCAAGGCTTCCCATGGGCTGCACGGAAGGCCTGGCATGGTCTGACCCCTGCCGACCATTCAGACTTAACTCGCAGTGGGCTCCCTCCGCTCCCTGGCTACACTGGCCTTCTCCCAGGAAATGCTCATTACTGCCTCAGGGTCTCTGCGGTGACACACTGCTTCCTCACCTTTTCTCCCACCATAGTCCACTAGGTCTTAATTTAAATGTCTCTCTTCATCAAGAATACCTTCCTTGATCTTCCGGACAAGGCAGCCCCTCCGTGACATCTTCCCACAGTGCTTTGCAAATCTCCATGGTAACCTTCCCACTTGTGATGGCTTCTCAAGGTCTGTAGTCCCTTCTGCACCCTGTGCCCTGCAAGAGCAGAGCCGTATCCATCTCCTACACCACCACAGGGCCAGCACCCTCACTTGCGGCTGCAGTGGCAACAGATCCCTGTCTTTGAGGCTGAGCTGACAGGAATCATTTCCTTTTCCAGTTCAACAACGACCAGCCAGTTGTGTACCCAGCTCCTCTTGCATTTATTTGAACCTGCTTACCCAGCAATCCACAAAGGAGCTTACACGAGGGTGATATTTAGGACTCCTGTGACCTAATCCTGGGATTATCATGGGAGGCACGGGCTGGCGGGCAGGGGAGGAAAGGTGGGCAGGTGTAATAGGAGGGACTCTAGAGACATAGGGCAGAAGGAGTCGGTTGATTGCTAAAGACACATGAGTGTGGCAGGGAACTATGCTGTGGGCTTAATGTGCTGTGGGTTTAGAGGCCTCTCTCTTGGTCCCTGGGGTGTGTTTGTGCGTGCACGTGTGTGTGTTTGAGTGGTGAAGGGCGGCAGGAGAGCTAAGCAGTTGGCATCAGGGGTTCTTTTCCTTTTCCTTTAACCTTTCCTTCACTTTCTGAGGCTCAAATTGGATCAGTCGCAGAATTTCCTTATTGGCCAGAGTCCCCTCGACGAACTCTTCCTCTGTAAGTTTACCTGTGTACGGGGAAACAATACTACAGTCAGCATTGGCTGTTTCAAGCTTCGACAAGGCTGACATATGCCAGCGTGCCCCACACAGATGTGTCTATTATGAGTCTCAGTGCCTCCAAGGGTACCCCACCTCTGCCCCAGATACCCAAATCTCCCTCGGAATCCCTGGATCTCCCCATGAACTAGCAACGAGAGGGTTAATGACAGGCACTGCCAACGGATCCAGAATGCATTCTAGTGCTATGCGTGTCTTCTGACTGGCCAGGGCCTCTGTCTGGCTGGTTATTAAATATTTTGAATGTTACCCCAGGTCTCAAGCCTCAAGTTCTGGGGGGATTTCTGGGGGACTGAGAAAGTAAATAGAGTCTCAGATGAGAAGCAGGGAACAGTGTCCACCCAGGGAGAAGGGAGTTAAAGGGTCCGATGTGGTGCCAGGCAGGGCCTGGCTTGTGTAGAGGCCTCTGTGCCCACCCAAGCACATGGCAGCTCTACAATTCCCGGCTTACAACTCCTCCATGAGTTTTTCCTATGCATCTGTGCATCCCCCATCTCCCTCCCCATTTGGGACTCTGAGAGAGCCTTGCCCCCACCTACTGGATTCAGTTATATCCATTTAAATGCTCTTCACTGAGCCCTTCCTCTATGTCAGAGCCACTGTGCTTGGGGCTGAGGTCTCTGCAGGAGGCAGAGGTCAGAGGGTGGTACAGAAGGGAGTGAGATGAAGTCCCCGACCCAGGAAACTCTGTCTGGTGGGGAAGACAGTCACCTGTAGAAATAACTCTAAAATGAGATGGGTGTTTTCAGCCCATGGTTGTTCTCATAGTTGCCTGCACATAGCTTGATGCTCAACAAAGCTTGGCTGAACTGAATTGCACTTTCACTGGCTAATGTTCTAGGCCTTTTGAACGTCCTAATCCCTCCTGTGTTGGGATCTGGGCTGGTTCCCTGTGCAGGTCTGAGAGGTGGAATTTGGGTTTTAAAGTCCCGGCTGCCCTATGAGCCTTACAGAGAGCTAAAACTCCCATCAGAGCCCAGTTCTGGAGTGAGGTATTGTCTCCAGGTGGGTTGCGTGAAAACACAAACGTCACCTGGCAAGAGTAACACATCAGCCGCCTAATACCACCAACTCCAGTGATGTTCACCTGGGTCAGTTTTCAAGTTCACAAGTAGCAGAACAATTGACTCAGCACATGGCAGACCCAGGGGGATGCCATGAAGGGAGTTAAAGAGCAAGTGGGTTGGTGAGGCACCACAGGGAGTCATCTTAAACAGCCAGGATCTGTGGGAATGAGGAGAAGAAGGTGCCTAAAGGGGTGGTGACATCAGGGCTAGGACTAGGGTAAGGCAAGAGAGGAGCCTACCCTGTCAAATGTAAGGAGGCGCTCCTTTTCAGGATTCTATGGCACAGGCATGCATCTAAAAATGAGTGCCTTGGGCCGGCTGAGTGGCGCATTGGTTGAGGGCTGGCTTGGGGCGCCGGCTCTGGGTGGTGGGGCCCCAATTCAGATCCCACAGGAGGGCCAGTGACACTGCCCTCTATAGCTAAGATGGTGAACAATAGCTTGACCTGGAGCTGGGCTGTCGTGGGTTGCCAGTGACGGCGTGGGTTGCAGCCCCTGCTGCAGTGGGCTGCCATGAGCTGCCGTGTGTGGCCAGCAGCCAGCGTGAGCGGCTGGCAGCCGGTGTGAGCTGCCAAGAGCCGCTGTGAGTGGCCGTCCAGAGGCTGGCACAACTGATCTGGAAGATCAACCCAGGAAGCGACGTCCTCCACAATTAGACTGAAGAACAAAAGGACAGCAACTTGTCTGCTCCCCTTCCCCTGATCCCCCGGGGCTGTTCCCCTCCCCCAATTCCCCAATAAAATCTTTTAAAAAAATAATAAAAAAATAAAAATAAATAAAAATACAAATGAGTACCTCCTTAAATGTTGTTCCAGGTACCTCTTGCTTCACCTTAGTTCTGGCTCTAGCTGTCAATGACCTTCTCGCTTAGTAGGGCTACCATGTACTTCTCTCACTTTCATCATCCCAGCCCCTGTGGCCTCGTGACATCCACTCCTTTACCATACCCTTCCCGAGACGGCCATGGGCATCACACACTAGAAGCTCCAGCTGCCCAGTTCTGGAATCGATCACCACTTCCAATGCAAGAACACACTCCCTGGGCTTCTCCCAGCCTAAGGCTGGACAAGGCGGGGTACCGAGAAAGGGCAGCTCCTGGAAGAAGGCGGCTGAAGGACACCCCATTGGCTTTGCCAACACTTTTCTTAGAATGGCACTGCAGTCTGAGACTTTTCTTACCCAGCCTTCCTCTCTACCCACACGCATCCCATTCACTTTGCAGTCTGAGGCTTCCCAGCCTCTTCTAGATCCTTCTCCATTTCCACTCATAGGTTTTTTTCCTTAATAAATCTCTTGCAATCTAGTTTCAATCTAATCCCATCTGGTGGTGCTTCAGGGGGGAACTAAACTAACTTCCTAAGTAAAACCATATAAATTGAGATCCCACTCACTTGGGACATGATGCCAATTCAGACATAGACTGAGCTGAAGTTTGCCCTGTCCTAACTGTCCAGAAAGCATTTTTAAAAACAATAAAGAAAACAGAAGTGTCTACACACCAGCACTCCGCTGAAACAGAAAGTGGTTTGCAATTCCTCTAAACTCGCTATCTGCATACAAACTGCTAATAAGCTGTTGTTGCCTTTACTTTTGACTATTCCTTTAATATGGGCTAACTGTTATAACCAAAGATGTTCTTCAAAAGCATTCCACCATTTCTAGCTTCCCTTCTCCCCCACAGACTCTCAAGCCGCGATGGAGTGTGGCGCCATTCCCATCAGCAGCGTCAGCTCAAAACGGGCCGCAAAACTGGGCCTGCTGACTGTTCTGCCCATTCCCCCCAGAGGCCCTTCAGCCAGCCCTGCACAGGTGCATCATGGGATGCGGTGTCCCCTGTCCTGCCTGGGCACTGGGACTCAGAGGGATAAATCTTGCTGGGGTCTCGGCAGTGAGGGAGGAGGCACTTACCGTCATCTTTCTTTCCAAAGAAGCCCCAAATCTTCTCAGCTCGCTTCTCGGGGGTATTTTCATCATCTGGAAGGAGTTTCACATCCTCAGGATTGATCATTTTGAAAATCGCCTGCAGCAAATCAAGAAGAACAATACATGAGAAGGAGCAGTGTGGGACTGGCAGCCCTGAGAGGCCCATGTTGCTGACCAGGCATCCTCCATGCCAGAGGTGAAAATGCAGATGCCCAGGCTCCAACCTGCCCTCCTCAATCAAAGCTCTCGGGAGGAGGCCAGACATCTGTATTTTTGAGATCTTTAGACAGGACAGGGAACATGGGGGAGGAGTGGAGAAAGCTTTCACTTCTTTTTTTGTTCCTTTCTGTACTGGTTGAATTTCCTGACCTTGTAAACATATTACTTTCACTTTATTAAAAAAAAAAATGAGGGCGGCCGAGTGGCACGTTGGTTAGGAGTTGGTTTGGGACAACAGCTCTGAGCAGCAGGGCCCTGGTTCAGATCCCACATGAGGGCCAGTGACACTGCGCCCTCTACAGCTAAGATGATCAACAGCTTGACTGGAGCTGGGCTGCTGTGAGTCGCCGGCAACGGCATAGGCTGCAGTGGGGCTGGCCGGCAGCGGGGCGTGAGCTTTTGTGAGCGGCCATGAGCCGCTGTGAGCGGCCATCCAATGGCCTGCGAGTGATTGCCTCACCTGGGAAGAGCGCAATGATAATACCAACATGGGCCAGTGAAGCAACATCCTCCGCAACTAGACTGAAGAACAAAAAAGGAAAGCAACCTGTCTGTTCCCCTTCCCTGATTCCCCAATGCTGTTCCCCTCCCCCAATTCCCCAATAAAATCTTTTAAAAAAAAATGAAAACAAATAATAAAAAGCTTCCTGATGTTGCAGTTTGGGAACCACTACCTTGAACCCTACCTCCCAGAAGTTTTAGAATATCTGAAGGCCTTCAGGGTCCATGGGATACCCAGGTTGCCCAGCTGGGTTGGCTTATGGTAATAATGGCTAACATTTGTTGAGCACCTAACATGTGCCACTTTTCTAAACATTTTTACATGTAACCTTCATAAAAACCTTATTACTGGCCCCATTTTACAGATGAAGAAACTGAGACAACTAACTTGCTAAAAGTCAGCCAGCTAGAAGCAGAAGGAGATTCTAACCCAGGCAGTTGGTTCTAGAACCTCCATACTTACACATTACGCCACCCACCCCCTTATTCTTATGCCTTGGAGAACATTCCAGGGGCTGGGGAAGGAACAGGGGAGGCATCAAGAAAAACTTTCCAAAGGTCTCCCCAGGGCGCAAGAAGCCCCTCATTTAGCCTTCTGCTCAGGGAGGGATCTGAAGAAAGGCTTAGCATTAGGCTCAAGGATCCTTCTCACCTCCCTCTGCTCTGACTAATCAAGGGCCCGGATGCGCAGTATGAGGCAAAGGAGGAAGTACCTCCGGACCTGTGATCAGGGAAAGGGACAAGGTAGTCTCCATGTACCCTTCCAGCTCCAGGTTACTTCCAGCTCAGTAACTCCAGGGCCGGCCAGGCCCAGAGAGGACGCTCAAGGTCATGGCCCCTGTGCCTGTCCCAGCCTGGGCCCTCAGCCCTTGAGGCAGGCCTGGGGTGCAGGCAGCATGTTGGGTAGAAGCTGAGAGAGCACCTTGAAGGCACCTGGGAGGATGGCCAGGCAGGGGCAGTAATACCTGTGAAATTAGCCTGGAGGGAAAGTCAACAGCTCTCAGAGATACACTTTTCATGAGTCCCCACCCCCCACCCCATGCTATAACAAAAGGAGCAAGGAAATCAAACCTAGCAGCTTGGGGCAGCAGCCTCAGCTGGCAGGTGCCCAGCAACTGAAGTGTAGGTGGCTCCCTTAACTCTTCTCTCTGTCCTGAGTCATGGGAACCATGTGCAGGCCTGATGGCTGAAACTGGGAGTGATTGGCTGCTTGCCCATTCTGCTTCTAACACCAAAGACAGACTGTCAGGGTCTCATGGAAGAACTGAGAAAGAACCATCGAACGCTCACCCTGGGCCGTGGGAGGTTATATGGTTTTTTCAAGGCCATGCATCTAGTTGGTGGCATAACTGGGACTAGAACTCTTGTTCTGTAACTCCTGACTCCCAGGACAGCGACTTTGTGATCTGGCGAATAGCAGAGCCTTGGCACCACCTTGCGCAGCCTCAGCCAGGGATGCTTCCCATCTCTCTCCCTCCTCTCCCCTCCCCGCCTCACCCTTCCTTTCTTTTCTTCCTTCTTTCCCTTTCTCCCCCTCCTCCCCTTCCTCCTCCTTTTCCTCAAGGAGCACCAACTTGTAGGCCTCTGCTGGGCCTGGCATCGTTTAGGTGGTTCTGAGGACGTGGTCCCTGTGCCAGGCTACCTGCCAATCCAGGGGAGCTTGATCTGAAGGCCCTGTCCAGATGCCAGTGAGGTTTCCACACATGCCTGCCCTTAACGGGAGATCCACACAGAGTCCACTGACCATTAGGTGTATGTTTGGCTATTTTATTTATGGTTTCTCCTAATAAGGGTGGAAGAGTTGTTCGAGTGAAAGCAGGATTACAAATGCATAAAAAATTATGTAAAATATGATAAACATTCTCCCTCTTAACAAGAATTGAATTAGAGAAATACAGCAAGTGGCATGGAGTAGAGGAATAAAAAAGATCGAAGAGAAATATAAATGATATAATAAGAAAAAATGGAAACATCCTAATTGTCCTAAAATATGAGAATCATTAAATAATTTCATGGCATTTCCATAAGATGGAATTCTAAGCAGCTATTAAAAATGGTTTTGAAGAATAGATATTAATATGGGAAACATTAATAACAAAGTAGTAATTGAGAAAAGGTAAAACCATATATGAATATATTACATTTCTAAAATTATTTTAAATATACACATAAAAGACTAGAAAGGTAGATACCAACATGTTGACAGTAATTTTCTCTAGATGATGGAATTAAAGGCAATTTCAATTTTCTTTTGCATCTTTTCTAAATTTCCTGATTTACTTATATATTAAATAAAACTATGTTCAAGATACTTAAAATCTTCACCAGAAGTGATCTGACACTGGGCCAATATGGACAGAGAGGAGAATGCGTGCTGTGAAGCCCTGGCTTGCAAGGAGCCTGAGGATTGTGGTTCGGTCTAGAGCACAGGACAGACGTGAGAAAGCTGAGGCTGACAGGGTGAAGTGACCTGCCCCACATCGTATAAGCAACTGAGACTAGCACCCAGATGTCACATCCTCCACCCTGGCCTTTTTCTATCGGGTATTTGAAACATGTTGTGTGTTTGAAATTAATTCTGAAAGAGTTTGAATATGTACTGTTGAAAGTTCTGAAGGACATTTTAGGGAAGAAAAGAAGGAAGAAAGGAAAGAGGAAAGGAAAGAAGGCAGGGGAGGAGGGAGGGAGGGGAGGAGGGAGGAAGGAAAAAGGAAGGAAGGATGAAGAAATATCAACAACAGGAAATTCCCAGATTCTTCTTTAGGAGAAAAATGAAGCTGTGGGAAAGTGCCCAACTATCTATTAATATCAGTACATTACAGACCCCACCTCACTATAGTTTCAGAGCCACTGAGTCACAGCGGACCCCCACTCCACCCCCCAGCCCTGCCCCCAGCTGCAGCCCCCAGTGCAGCAGCGGTATCAGCAGCAGGGAGGCCCTGACCCTGGGTGACCCCAGTCCCGCGCAGCTGCAAGGGGGGAGATGGAGACTGACCACGACAATCTCGAGCACTTCGTTCTTGCTGATGGCCCCACTGCCATCCACGTCGTAGAGGGAGAAGGCCCACTCCAGCTTCTGGTTGGGCTTGCCCGCCGTGGTCATGTGCAGGGCAGTGATGTACTCCTTGAAGTCCAGGGTGCCATCGCTGTTCGCATCGAAGCTGCGGAACACGTGCTCGGCGTAGGCCTTGGGGTCAGAGTCGGGGAAGAACTTGGCGTAGATGTTCTGAAATTGCTGCCGGGTGATGCGGCCGCTGGGGCACTCTTTCAGGAAGGACTGGTACCAGGAACACAGCTCCTCCTCCGTGAACTTGGTGTTCAGCTGCAGCTCCTCCAGGGTCTCCTTGGACAGGGACCCGCTTTTGCTGTTCCCCATGGGTGAGGCGCCGTGGACCCAGCCGGGCTGTCGCCGCTGGATGGGTGGGAGCGACGTGGTCTCCGACCGTCGGGGCTCGGGGCTCGGGGCTCGGTGCTGCTGGAGATGGATGGCCGTTGAGATGCTGCCGGATTAGGAGGATTTGCAGCAGGTTCACCCCAGTACTTGGAGGGAGGAGGGACTGGGAGCTCATGGGGTGGGGGTGGGGGAGGGAGTTCCCAGAACCCCCCTGGAATTAAAATAAAGAGCTGACAGCAAGTTGTCAACCCATCTTGGCCTTCTGGGAGGGGAGGACAGAATAGGAGGTCAGAAACTTGAGAGCCGAAGCCTTGGGCCAAAGCCTTCCCAGCTGCCCCTCGCCCAAGCCCCTCCTACCCCCAACTCTAGCTCTCTAAGAGCACTGATGTTCCGCATGTCCTCTGCTCTAACTCTGAGGTCTGGTGGGGGGATGGGCAGGGATGGCCTCTTTCATTGAGACCTACAATGCAGGGGTTAAGAGCCAGGCCCTGGAGCCAGCCTGGGGTTCAAACCCCAGCTTTGGAATTTACTAGCTGTTTGACTCCAAGCACATTTTTAAAGCTCTCTCTGCCTAGAATGCTCTTCTCCCAACCTTTCACCTTCTTCATGGCTTTCCTTAAATGTCTCCTTCTCAGCAAGGCATATACTGTCCATTCTATTGACAAAACACATCCCACCTTCAACCATCAGCACACCCCACACTGTTTATCCTGCTTTGTTTTTCTCCCTACCCCATACACCTCCTGATTTACTATTTTTTTTATTCCAGGTGCTGTCTGTACTCTCAATTGAATGAAAGCTCCATGAAAGTGAGGATCTGTGTCTTTCGTTACCAGCTGTGCCTCCATTGCCAGAGCAGTGCCTGGCAGGTTTGAGCCCTCTGTGAATATTCCTTGAGTGAACGGGCATGATAATAGCATCTACCTCATTGTTATTGTGAGGCTGGAGAAAATACGTGCAGCACACTAAGAATAGAGCCTGGCACATAGTAAGTGCTAACTACATGGTAGTTTTTGTTATTATTCATCTATAACAGGGATCAAAAACTAACCTGCCTACAGGGGCCAGCAAGTGGAGGGAGGGGAGCAGCTGGACCAGGGAGACAATAGGGAGTGGTGAGGCCTGTGTCACACGTGGGAGGGGCTGCCAATGTTCAATCCATTTGAATGTGGTCATATGGAATTATGGCCCGGTGTTGCTAGATTTTGCATTTATCCAAAAGACATCCAGAAATCATATTTTTAGATACAATTTCCAAACTTTTAAACTTTGGTTGTTAATTTGGAAACTTCAAAAACATGGTGTGGGCCAAATACAACATATTTATGGCTCAGGTTCAGCCTGCAGGTTGTCAGTTTGGCATCCAGCCTGGTGCCTGGAGCTGGCAGACAAGAACCGAGGCTTGTTGTGTGAGCGAATGGGTAAAAGGGAGACAGGGGGCTCTGCAGGGGAAGCCTTTGCATCCCTGCAGTCAGTTCAGGTGGGAGTATCGGACACAAGGAAGAACCCAGGTGAGTATGTCTGGCATCTGAATTCTTATCACCCAAAGGGAAGATCAGCGGTGCCCTGGCTTGGATGAGCATAAGGCTCGAGGGGACATGCCTGGAACCCCCAAGTTACCAAACTGGATGGGAGAGATGTCTCGACCTCTTTGCTCAGGGGTGGTAGCTACAAAGAACAAACCCCACAATTTCTAGGCAGGTGAGTTGGAGTTTGCACCCTATTTCGTAACAGGTTAATGGCAGGTCCCCGTTGCTGGGAGAAAGCCACCTGCCAGGCCCACCCTGATGTTGCTTAGGAAGGACCGAGAAGTATAGGCATTGACCTCACCCGCTGTGGCTCAAGAGCATTTCTCAGGAGGCCTTCATGTTAGTTAGGGGTGTGTGTGTGTGTGTGTGACTTGCTATTTTCCCCTTCAGTTTCTGAGAGTATATTACTTCTTAATAGGAGCTCTTTCTCTTCTTCTAGACTTTCACTATTCTGTAGCAAGGCATTTGTTCTCAAGAGCAGTTAGAAATAGAACAGTCACCCAACTCAAAAACCAGCAAACAAACAAACCCCAGCCATGAAAGTGAGGTCAGAGGCCTCCCTTGTTGCCTCCGAACCAGGTGGGGGAGGCCGTGAGAAGGGCCCCTGCGTGCCAGGCCTATCCACATGGAGCCTGCAGGTGAGGCGAGGCCAGTGTTACAGGGAAGAAAGGGGGTTCCGAAAGGCATGCTGCCTGCCAGGATCACACGGCTGCTAGTGGCAAAGCCAGGAGGAAAATCCAGCTCTGCCAGGCTGCCCGTTCAGGGCTCTTTTCATTACATTACAACTGCCTCCTTTCTCAAGGAGGCCTGAGTCCAGGGGCCAAAAAGCTCCATTTTGTAAGTGAGGAACTGGGGTTGCCGTAACAAAGGGAGAGGCTGTGGGCAAGGAGACAGGGTCCCAGGGTAACACAGAGGCAGCCAGAACCGCCCCCTCCCCCACAACCTGTTCTGCTCTTTCCAAGGGCAAGGAGAAAGGAGCTGGAACCAGGTCGGAAGCAGCCTGGTACTCTCCACATTCCTCAGGTTGCTGTGCCCAGGAGGGGCCCAACCGTGGGAGGGGACCACAGGCAGCTGTGTTGATACTGCTGAGACAAGGGTCGTGACCTGGAGATTTGTTTGAAAACCTGCATAAACATCTTCTATCAGAGGGACAGTTTATGCTCCTTAGCCAAACAAGTTGTTGGAGATGATGTATTGTGAGTGGATTTGTTAAGTCTGAGCTGGAGCCATAAACTCTCCCGAACCCCCAAGACCACTGGGGAGAAGGCCTCGTCTCCGGTTGGAGTCTCAGTTTGTGTCTTCCCTCCCGGTCCTGCCTTGACTGAAAGAAGCCGGCTCTTCCCAGGGGCTGGCCTGGCCATACCCCAAGCCAGGAGCTCTGCCTTGGCTGTTAGTTGGGGCCCAGCCCCGCAGCCCTCACCCCCATTCCTCTGCCTTCCTCTGCTATGCGCTGAAAGACAAGATGACCCTTCCTCCTCTGGCCTGGAACTGGAGCCTGCACAGAAGTCTGCACTGAGAGGGCAAAGGGAGAGGGTGGGTGGGGGGCAGAGAATGGGAAAGATCGCTGCTCCCACAGCCGTCCCATTGCACTGAATGGCACGCCACCCTTTTGGGTGCTTGGACTGAAATCCTCAGCGCCTCTCTTTCTGTCACACTCCCACTCCAATCTGTCAGAAATTGTGTTGGCTCCACCTTCAGAGTTCATCCAGACCTGACCATTCTCCCCACCTCCACATGTTCTGCCCTTTCCAAAGGCAAGGAGGAAGGAGCTGGAACCAGGTGGGAAGCAGCCTGCTACTGCCCACAATCTTCACAGCGCTTCTACCGGAGTCCCTGCTTCTCTGGCTCCTTGCTTCTGCTCTTGTCCGTCACAGCCCTGCAGTGAGCCCTGTAGCAATGAAGCCAGGCCGTGCGCTCCCAGGCTCGGACCCTGAGTCAAACCAAGGCAGAGGCCCTGCAGAAGCTGCCCCTCCCCACCACCCCTCTGCTCTAGCGACAAGCAGCCCTCCCCACCCCACCCCACCTCCACCCCAGGCCTTTGGCTAGGCCCCCTCCTCTGTCTGGAATATTCTTCCCCAGCTACCTGCTGGGGTTGCCTCCTGTTTCCTCGTCTTTGATCTAATGCCACATTCTCAATGAGGCCACCCAGACTCCCCTATTTAATATAGCAACTTACCCACCCTCACCCCCAGAACCACCAATCCCCTCGCTCTGCCCTTTTTCTTTCTGGTAACACTGAATACCTTCCACACCCACGATATGCGATTTTGTTATGTCTCTTGTTTTTGTCTGTTGTCTCCCTGCTAGAAAGCTCATGAGGGCAGGGATCTAGCTGTTTCCTGCACTGCGTTCCCAGTACCTAGAGCAGTGTCTGACATATAGTAGGTGCTCAATAATTATTACAGGCAGGCAGGATTGGATGGATGACTGAGCAAAGAAACAATTGCCAAGAGCCCTTTCTGTCCATAGGTACAGAAGTCAGCAGGGACAGAGGCCTGAGTCAGGTGTGTGGGTCTGGCTGCATGGCACCCACCTGGGCGTCAATGCCCAGGTGCCCTTTGTCCCCCTGCTAAGCCATCAGGAGTAAATTGATCACCAATCCTGGGAGCCTGGGAGGAATGCTGAGACCATTTGTACAGAGGAGAGTGGGGCAGCCCTCCAGGAAGGTCGCCCAGTGGAACCCAGTGTCTCTGGACAGTTTATTTCACATGGGATGAATCTAAGCATCTCAAGTGTGTACACAGAGCCGAAGGAAGAAAAATAGGAGAGCATTTAACTTCCTGAAAACGCTTTATAATAATGCAGAACAATTATATATAGCAAACGCCTTCAAAATTTAAACCCTTTAAACATTTAATTCTTCAGCATTAATACACACAAATGCTATTACGAAGGGTGGGAGGGGTTGGGAAGGGCGGATTATAGCCTCCATAGGGATGAGTTTCAACAGTGTTACTTATAAATTATATTACATCAATTTTATTTACTGATCTAGGCAGCCAGAGGGTGGAAGGATATACAATGTGGAGTAAACACATTCATACCGGGATGAGGAATGCTGGCAGGAGACACAGCTTTTTAACATTAAAAATGTATAAAGTATTTAGCAAAAGTTACAGAAAACAGACCAAACAAGCAAGTTTATTTTGTTAGAAAATTCCACTTTCATAGGGTTTGCTGATGTGCTCATGTCTGTGAAGGACTGCCCCCAGCTCCCATCCCATGATCGCCTTCCCAAGGGAAGGGCAGAGATGCAGATTTGGGGCCAGTCACCAAGGGTGGCTGGTGTCCCTTTGAATGTCTCTCCCTGGGTCCACATGGCTGCCTCGAGGCCACGGCTCCCGAGAGCCGGTCGCTGCATGTGATGCTGGAAGAGGAGAGTCTCTACTTGACAGATGAGTCCATAGAGGTCCCAGGAGGGGACGTGACAACTTCAGGTTATGGGACAAATAAGACAGCAGGGCAGGCTCGGTCCAGTGCTCTTGCCCTGGTACAGATGCTTTCCCTCTCTGTCCCTGTGTCACATCCACCCCATTAGAGCACCCATGTGCCAGACCCTGTGCATTCCACCACTGCAATCCCACTAGGAATGTCCCCCAAACACAAAGGGTCAATGTCTCCTGAACAGCACACAGAGAGATCAAGGGTGGTCACAACCCCTCTCCCTCACAGGCACCTCCCAACAGTCTCCTGAAAGAGCCTCACCCTCCCATCTAGAGGGGAAATAGAACATCACTTTTTTGTCACGTCTTATTCTCACCCAAACCTGCTAAAACAATAACTGGGTCCCTCACCTTCAGAAAAGACCTGACAGGAATAAAACTCCTGGGGAGGGGGGAATGATGAGAGTCCTCCCTGGCAAAATTCAGCCCAGAAGCATCCCAGCAGCATAGATCCTTGGCTTCCCACCACGGGATCTTGTCGGCCTGGGCTCCCCTGGCCCGGACTCAGGTATGTCTTCAATTTGTTTAGAGAGGTGCCTGGTTGCCTTACAGAGCTCAGCCTGTCACTGAGCAGGGCTCGATCAAGACCCGGCTTGGAGGAGTCATCACCATGGGGGTCCTAGGAGGATCTGCCTCATTCTCAACAGCTCTTAAATTTAGCTTCATTTGTGTCTACATGGAGACATGTCACCGTATCCTCTTATGAGGATTTTAGACAACACCATGCACAGCTGCACTGAAGGGACCCAGATTAGGTAGGACCATGTGCATAGGGTATAAACTTGGAAATGATAAGGGGAGGAGATAACGCAGGCACCAGAGGAGGCCTGAGTGACCTTCTAGAAGAAATACCCTCAGTGTGCAGGCGAAGCAAGAGACCCCGGAAAGGGTCGTGATGAGCCCAAAGCCCCCTCCTGCCTTCTCATCCATGCCAGGTCCACGTACCTTCCACACCCACTAATGCTCAATAAATGCCACGTGTGAGCTGAGTGGATCTGCTAGCTGAGAGGCAAACTTCAGGGCACAGCAGCAGTGGAAGGCACCTGAGACCCCGCTCACCCTCTTCCCCCAATACCTGCAGCTTCCCGCATTGTCAAACCCTAACATGAAGCAAAAAGGCAAGTGTGAGCCCCAAGTACTACCTGTGGGCACAGCTGGCATTTGGAGGAGCCGTAGGAAGCAGGCTGGAAGTAGCCATGCAAACAAGCTGAAGGCCCTAGAACAGGAACTTCTGGGGCAGACAACTCACTTTAGAAGCAAGGAAGCAGTGTGGTACACCCATGCAACGGAACACTGCACGGCGATGCAAGGAAAGAAATTATGGACACACAACCACATAGGTGACCCACCCACACTCAGCGGGGTGGAAGAAGCCAGACTCAAGGGCCGCATAGTGTGACTCCATTTATACGCCATTCTAGAAAAGACAGAACTATAGGGTCAGAAAATCAATCAGTGGTTGCCAGGGGCCGGGGGTGGGAGGAGTGGATTGACTACAGAGGTGTCGGGGGCAATTTTTGCAGTGATGGAAATACTATGTTGATTTTGGTGGTGGTTACGAGGTTCTATACATTTGTCAAAATTCACAGAACTGAATACTTCCAAAGGGTGAATTTTAGTGTTATGTCAATAAACCTCAACACTGTATGTCAAATACCTCAAGAAACCTGGGGGGAAAAAAGGCAGGGTGTCTTGCAGGGATGGGAAGGGTTATGGGACTAAGATGGTGTGCTGGCTAAGTAAGCATGCTACTGCCCTGTACCCCACTTAACATTTCTAAAGTGCTTCCCCTACCTACATAATAACCAGCAGGACTGTAGAATCCTGTGTAAACTCTCCTTGTCAAGGCCACTCGCAGCTGGAAGTAAAATCACTTAAACAAGCCGAGGTCTTTGACGTCCTTTGAATTTTATGGCTTGTATTTCCAAGAAGGGACTTTGGCTCAGGCAAGATTTAGATGCACCCACCCGCTAATCTAGTAATTGATTGGTTTTCACAAAGGAAATAGAAACAAGCCCCTGGTTCATGAGTCCGCACGCTGTTTCTGTTTGCTTCAGCCACTGGCCAGCTCCAATGAGCAGACAAGGGCCTCCCACTGCAGAAATTCTCCCTGCCCAACAGGCGTTGGGTGGAGGTAGAAAGAAGGCCCAAGGTGATTCCACTGGCAGAACCTCAGGACAGCCACCCCTGTGGTGCAGCTGGCCAGTGCACTGCAATACTGATCAAAAGCACTAGAAAAAATGGACAGGAACAAGTGGCTTTTCTTGGAGGTTGTTGTGGCAACCAGCTCACTTTGAACACCATGCATCTCAGAGATATGTATTTTTTTAAATCAGGTTTTCACAGACAACACTAAGTGCATCTGTGTCTCCCAGGTGGAGGCAAGTAGAAAGGGCTCGCCTGTTCTCAAACATGGAGCAACGGATGTGCTCAAAAGTAACCCAGACTCACCCACTGAATAAACCCAGCCAGATCCTCTTATAACCGAAACATGAATGGAAACAACAACACAACCTCCCCAGATAGAGTATTCTGATACCCCGAAGTGCACTTTTAGATACTCTAGGCTTCATTCTGATCTTGACTTCACCCAGAGGGGGGCCCCGTTAATAGGGACAGGGAGCCAGGACTCTCGACACCAGCCCTGCTCTAAATTCAGTGTTCATCTCACGGCACTCACCGGCCATGTTTGCGTTTCATTCTTCCTCTTTGTAAAGTGAGGAGAGTTATTTAAATCAGAAAAAAAAATCTCGAAAGCTCGAGTTGGATATGGGCTGTGAGAGTCTCGTGACCAGGTGATTGAACCCTTGATGCTGTCTAGCTTTGACCCAGTGGGTAAATGCTGCGTGGTGGTAGCTTACATTGGAATTACAGGTTCACAGTTGGTTAAATGTGGAAAGGCTGCCATGTTCTCATTCTCCAGAAAGGTGTAAATAGTCTCCTGTCTACATGGAGAATAGAGTGGACAGGAGGAGAGTGCCTGTCTAGTATGCAGCTACATTTCCAGTACCCTGCACAATGCTCGGCTTGTCCCAAGTATCTGCCGAATAAACGAATGAATGAATGCAGATCTATCAGCACAACATAGAGTATCTCTGAAAACCTACATTCTGCAGAGTACCTCTATGTGAATGCAAGACCCCTGGAGAAAAGATAAGTCTATACAAAATAAGAGATTGGAGACTTCCCTGTTGACAGGGCCGTATCTTGCCCTCAGATCTGAGCACATTGCTCGGCCTTAGCTAAATACTTGATGAATGAGTAAAGGAGGAAAGAAAAACAGAAAAGGAGGATGTGAGGAAGCTAACGAGACCAAGGTGAGGGGCTAAGGGGGAAAGAACATCTTCAGAAAACAGACTGGCCCACAATGGGCCAACTCGAACTACCCTGGAAGAGGCAGGAGAACTCCCTCTGTCCCAGGGAGGAACAGAAGATTCTGGAATCCTCAGGAGGAAATGAGAAGACAAAAATCAATGAGCCATGTCCACTCAAAATATCTGTGTTAATAACCAGGCTATTGTCTTCGAGTATTTCAAAATCAACCACAAATTAGTTTATTAAGCCACAAAGCAATTACTACTAGCACCCATTTTTAATAAAGAAACCAAGAAATCATATCCTAAAATTGGTAGCTGGTATCATGGCCCAACCCCAATCTGGAAAGAGTGGTTCTCCATCCCATGAACAGATCCATTCTGATGACCTTCAAGTTGGTTAACACCTTCCTTCACATTGACCTTTTTGGCTGGGATGCTTAGTAAGAAAAGAAAACTGACAAAATTTGGTTTGCTTTAGTATATTCGACATCTTTCTACCACAAACTATGAGAGAGTAATTCTGACAATGAAAGAAGTACAAAAGATTCAAGATTAATAAGTCATCAGTTACCAGCACAGAAGACTGAGAATGACCAGTGAATTGTGCTCTTAGAATTCTGCCCTCATGTGAAATACGTGGGTCCTGTAAATCCGAAGTAATCAATGGGAAAGATTAACTAAGAAAGATGAGCTCTTAGGGCGTGGCTTCCAGGCTAGAATCGGCCCCTTGCTACCTGTGTGTCTTCCTTCAGTTCCTTTTTCTTCTTCTGGTCCCTTCAAACTTATTCTCGAGACTTAACATGATGGAGAACATGGTTTAAGGGAGCGTGTAATAAGCAAGGACCCGACGGCAGCCCTGAAAGCTGTCTAAGTTACACTCAGATCAGGCTTTTCCAGGAATCAGAAGATGGAGAAAGGGGAAGATGGTCCCAGCACCAGGCCAGGGCCCGGTGCAGGGCTCTGGGCTGTGCAGAAGGAGCTGAGAAGCCAAGGTGGTGGGACACTGCCTAGCAGGTGACAACTTACTGTGGCCACACAAGTCTTCAGTGCCTGTACAGTGACCACCAGTGAGAGAAAGCCATACAAGGGACAGCGGTTCCAACCCAGCCATGCAGAAGCAGGTGGAGCCATCTGGGGGATGACGAAGACTTGCCCCAACCCATCTCCCACACAGGACTGACCCGGCCCCGTTAAGAGCATGGAAGGGGGAGGGGATGGGAAGAGGGACGGTCTGAAGGTTGGGTGGAATGGGAATTCCAGAGAGGAGACGTTACAGAGGATGTGCTCTAATAGGAAACAATTTAATGCTCTGACTCAGGGCTAATTTGCTGAATGAGGTAGTTCCATCCTGACCTCTCCAGGCAGGGTCAGTCTGGGAAGACAGGAGCCAAGCCTTCTTCCCAAGACCCTTGATGATGAAACGTGACAGAGAAGAACAGGATGTGGGCTCCCAGAATGCAATGGGAAAAATAAAGAGGGAGGGCTGCAAAGGATTCTGAGCGCGGGCTGTTCCGATAAATGGTGCCTTCTATCCATAATTCTGATCCTGACACTTGGCTTGGAGACAGAGACTTCCCTCCCCTGACACTTGAAAGCCCTGGAGACAAGGGGGCCAGCTGGAGAAAGGGCCTTGGGGCTTCCAGGGGCACAAACATGTGACATAGTTGGCTCTGGATGGGGAGGTGACCCCTATGGTGCTCGGGAGGAACCACAGAGTTCCAGCCTCAGTTTGTTCTCGGAGCGACAAGCACAGAATGGCAGTTGGGGGGCTTCAGCCTCAGAGACAAGGGCAGGGCTGTGAATCCATCTTCCTGGCCTGGGAACACTGGGGAGCTCCCAGCAGGGCCGTCCAGGTTGTCCTGGAAAAACCAGCTTCTTGAGGAATCACCACACCCTCCCCTCTTCTCAGTGGACCAGGAGAGTGGGTGGGAGGGCTGCTCCACTCAGCAGCAGGCCCCACGGTGGGAACCACCACCTCCTCTCCATGGGACCCTCAGCCCCTCTCCTTGGCAGGACCCCCGGAGCCGCGCGCGCCCTTCTAGATCTCCATGTCCACAGGGCGGATGTTGCCTGTCTTGTGCTCTCGAACCCACAGCTCCCTGTCTTTGGCTGGGTCCACTTTTCGAAGCAGTTGGTCCACAGGCTCGACTGTCTGCAAGGGATGGAGAAAAGGAGACACTGTCAGAGGTGGCAGCCGAGCCAGGGACACTGCCTCTGAGCCATTCTGCTCAGGCCTTTGTGCCTGCCAAGGCAGCTTCTACAGAAGGCTGTGGGGCCTCAGGGAAGCCCGTGTGAGGAACAGACATGCAGAGGGCTGTGACAGCAGGGAGCCCGGACCTCTCATGCCCGCCTTGCTTCTCACCCGGCGCACTTTCCCCTCCAGACCTCAGGGCTGGAGAAAGGGGCAGGGTGGCCTCAAGGTCTCCAGGTCTGTGATCAGTTCCTCCATTTCTGTGGTAAATGTTCCCACATTTACCACCACAGAACAAGACAAACAGAATTTTAGCTTCAGATATTCTGAATATTTCTGGAACTGTTTTGGGTGGTGGTAAGAGATTCTCTGGGGTAGGCAATCATGTTTTCAGTATTCTATCATGAGCTGTTTTTCCCTCATGGTAACAGCTCGTGTGTGTTGTATCTATTTCACACATTTCAGATGGGTTCGCATGGGCATCCAGGACTACAGGTCCATCACAAGAGGTTGCCCACAGGCCCAAGAACCTGCCCACTGCCCATCTTCAGGACAGATTCATTTGTAGTGACCACTTAACCTGCCATGGCACAGTGACAGGGGCTCTCCCTGGCCTGGGGTCCCCGCGGGGTCCTGCTGGCCTCAGCCTGGGGAAGGGGAACTCACGCTTTGGTTGAACATGTCAGTTTCATGCCGCAGCTGGGTGTACTGGCACAGATGTTGCCGGATCATCTCCACCCTCTCCACCTCTAGCCGTTCCAGCTCCTGCAGGAGGAAAAGACCAGACACCTCTGAGCATGTCCCCTCAACTTGGGGACCTTCTCACCAGATAGGTCCCAGACCACCCTATACAAACAAGTTGCCACCTGCTTAGACCCGAGTCCATCTGAGTCTCTGGGATATGACAAAGAACTCACTCCATAACTAGGGTTAAAGGTGAAGATGATGATAACACAGCAGCTACTATTTTCTGAATCCTGACTTGCAGGCATGGTGGGTGCTAAGGGCTTTACATGTATTACTTAATTGTCCTTATAATAATTTTAAGACATAGGTTCTGTTCTTACCCACTTTCCAAACAAGGGAATAAACATCCAGAAAGGGAACGCCATTTGCCCAAAGCAACATGGAATTATGGGAGGAGAGGGATTTGAACCAGGGTCTGTTGTGATTCTGTACTGGTGCAGCCCCAGCTCCAGTTCCTCAAGGGGGTGGAGGAATGGGACACATGTGGGCGTGTCTGTGCCTCCAACTCCTGGGGCTTTGTCCCTGGGCCTCTGCTGAATAGCCTCTCTCCTCTGTCTCCTCTGTGCTGAGGGAAAGACCAGAGACCAGGCCATGGGAGGCAGGGGGGCTGGGAGTGGGGTGGCCCCTGTCAAAGGGAAGAGTGGAGAGGGTTTGTCCTTTGGTTTCTAGGTGGTTCTGCATCTTCGGCATTTAGGGGATCAGGCTGTTATTCTGTGAGCAATTAGGTCACTGCCCAGGTGATTAACCAGAAATGGGGTAAAGCAGGTGGCTTAATTAGGAGATTAACCAGGAGGAAAACCAGGTCACTGTCCTGTGCTGCCTGGATGTGGGTGGTTTCAGGCAGTGGGATGATGTGATAAGCACCTGGCATGATGCCTCCTTTCTCATCTGGCCCAACAGCCCAAGTAGCAACAGGTGCTGACTGATGGGGAGATGCTGCCCCTTCACAAGAGAACTCAGGAAGGCGAAAAGAGGGTCTTGTCTAGTCCTCGTGCCCCTTGGTCATGGGCCTCCCCCGCCCCAATTCCTCTTACACAGCTCCCCAACCTCACCATTTATGCACTTTGCAAGGATCTGCTCTCTGGGACCCGTGACTCTTCCGGGGGTGGGAGGGTCACACTTCATACAACTTGGCTATCTGTCCAAAGGGGGCTACTGTCCACTTGATTGAGGGCATCCTCAGTTGAACCTGACCCCTCAGGGGACAGCCAAGGAGGATACAGCAAGACCCAACCCTTGCCTGTGTTCACACAGATAGGAAGTACACAGCAAGGACTTGAATCAATATAGACTAGCCTAGAGTCAAGGTCTTGACCCCAATACTAGAGCAGATCTAATGATCATCTTTATATTCACCTCCACTCTAGGACCTATATGCCCACCTGCATTGATCCAGGGTGTCCTGAGTGCCATTCCCTGATTGACATGCTTACACATTTCTGGGCACTCACCAATGTGGTGGTCACCATCTCTTCAAACCATTTGGACTGGGCCTGGTTGTAGAGGTCCACACAGCGCATGAGGTCATCTCCTGGAAAAGACCACCACCATCTTTATGCTCTGTTCTGTCCTTGCCATAGCTGCCCGCTCCCACCTGCACCCCACAGCCATGCCTTCTCCTCTCCTTGGGGTCGTGGAGGCCATTGGAAAGTGGGTGGGAGGGGAAAACATAACAAAGAGAGGGGACAACCCAGCACCACAAGAGACCAGCTTCAGATTGCCCATATGAACTTGACCCCAGACACCAAGAATTCAGGATGGGGGGTTCTAAGTGTGTGTGTGGTGGTGGTGGGGAGGGGGTTACTCCTAGGACCCACAACTCTATCATGAGTCCAAGAAATCTTCCTCTCTAAAGATGGCAGTTTCATTTCACACCGGAGAGTCTTTCTTGGTTAAAACATGTCACAATCAACTTGGTACTAGTTAAAAGTAAAAGAAGAAAAATTTACAAATTACGTGTGTGTGTGTGTGTGTGTGTGTGTGTGTGTGTGTGAGTGTGTGTTTATACACTTGCAGCAGGATGCCATTCTGAAACACAAAATAACGTGTCTGATGGTTTATGGCTCATCCATGTGTGGTAATGGTATGAAAACACGCACTGGAGCATTACACACCAATTTCAGGATAGCGCTTACACTGGGAAACAGAGAAAGGATGGGTGGGAGGAAATGAGCTCTTTTAATAGCATTTTGTTTCATAAGAGAGAGATCTGAAACAAACATAACTATTCCATCTTGATGGCTAGTATATTGTTTTCTGTAATCATATGTATGTTTGAAACATTTTGTAACTAGAAAGAAAATGAGCTATAAAGTAATTGTAAATATTACTAAGGTACCAGCATCCTAGAAACCTGCTACACAAAACACAGTTCCTAGAACAGCAGCATCAGTATGCCCTGGGAGCTTGCTAGAAATGCAGCTCTCGAGACCTGCCTGATACCTGATGAATCAGAAACTGCATTTTTACAAGATCCTCAGGTGATCCAGGCATCTCACAGAGAAGTAGCACCAGAGGGCACCGCTCGGTCTAAATGTAGTTTAGAACAAACATCACAGGGTTCCAGAGAGAGGAAGGCATCATGGTCTTTGCTTTTAATGGGAAAAACTCACGAGCCAACCAAAGCCAACTGCTTTACTCTTTAAATCTAGTAACTGGAGCAGACTCAAAGTTATTCCTATAACATCACCTTGCTCATGTGTATCCTCATATGAATGTGAAAGAAAACATGACCCAGGGCCTAAACAGTAGCCCCCTTCCCCCTGAACCACACCACTGGCTAGGAGATGACCCCTTGAGTAACAGAACCCAAATTAAGGGCTTTGTTCATTTTGCTCTTGGTTCAAGGGCAAGGACTGGGCTCTTGATCCCAAGAAGGACTGGCACTCCAATATGAGAATGAAAACCCTGCAAATCAGAACTTAGGGAATATGATTAAGGCAGGGGTGTGAGAAAAAGTAAGTATCTAGTAGCCTAAATATCTAATTTTTTTTTAACCCGAGGCAAAAAAAAAAAACCCACAAAAAAAAAAACTGAGGAAAGAAATGATTTAAAGAAATACTTGAAAAGGGAAAGGCCTTTCTAAGTCAGTCACAAAACCTAGACTCGTAAAGGGAAAGATCACCATACAAAAAAATAATAAGAAACAAGCCAAAAAAAAAAAAACCCACCAAAAAACAAAAGAACCAAATAAAAGATAAACACCAACCTAGGAAAAATATCTGCAACTCAAAGACAAAAGGATAATTTTCCTAACATATAAAAAACCCCTATCAATCAATCCATAACAGGACCAGTCACTAGAAAATGGGGAAAGGATAAGCATTATTCAGTTCACAGAAAAAAGTCACAGATGACTTGTAAGTTTATTTTTTAAATGCTCAACTTCACTCAAAAAGAAACATAAATTAAATTAACAACAAGATAATTAGTTTTCACCAGAGAGCTATAATGTCACAAGTTGAAAACACACACAGCATTGACAAGAGCTTAGGGAACGTACATTCATCAATATTATCGGTGGGCACACCTCTGGAAAGCAATTTGGAAATATCAGTCAAAATGTAGATTTAGTCGCACACACAGACACATTTACAAAAACACAGCATTGTTGGCATTGCCAAATACTCCGAAACAATCTAAAAGTCCTATAAAAATCAATTAGGGAAATGATCAAATAAATTTAGATACAATCATACACTTGGACACTATTCAGCCATTAAAAAGTCCGATGTACATGAATGGATGGATAATTAAATGTATAGGTAATGGAATGGAGCTATCTCTAAGAGTTATCAATTAAAATATAAGTTCAGAATAGAATACAATATGATCTAATGTGCATACATTTAAATATAAATATTTAGAAACTTAAAAAATTAAAAGGAAGTGTTGATGGTGATTATATCTGGCAAATTAAGATTTTATAGTCTTACATGCTGATTAAAAATTTTTTCCCAAGCAAAGATATTGATTTTGCGATATAATTTTATTTAATAATTTAATAAATTAAATGAATTTAAATGTGCCTCTCCTCGACCTGCATTTCCCTTCCCACTTCCAATAAGTATATTATGCCTTCTGTTTCTGGACAGTAATTTATCACCGTGCGTTATAAGATCTTTATATCAAATGTTATGTTTATATTCAATTATTTTGTTATTGACTTGTTTTTATACCATCTTATTTCAAAATGTACACATGGTGGCTGCTTCATTCTATAATGAATTGATCAAACCAGGTTCACCAGAAGTTGAGGTGAAAGGGACCTACAGACCATCTTAATCCAACAGCACACATTTCAATCCCAGAATGCAATATGTATTGTCCTTGCATGCACTGAAACTGGTTTTTTTTTTTTAGAAATATTTGGTAAGTTTTTTACTAGTTCTACCTGGCTTTTCTCCCCCTTCCTTGGGCATTAGCTAATTTTTACCACTAGGTGGAAGCAGAAACCAACTCACTGGAGGCACCTTTTAGGGAGAATCTGATACATGGTTATTTCATGAAGAAAATGTCAGCCTCTGGCTGGGACAGGAGCCCACCACCAAAGGTGAACCCCTAGAGTGTCACTCCCTGGGTGGGTGGGTTTGTACTTCTCCTAGGGGCTCCACACGGGGCCAGGACCCCTGACTTCCGGGTGCTGGAGGAGCTGCCACCTCCTGGTCAGACAGCCAGGACCTGCGCAGGGAAACACCCTCGCAGGGCAGAGTGGGAGGAGCCTCCCCACCGTGGCCTGGAGACAGCCTAGCCTGCTCCCTGACCACAGCCCCGCCTGCCAGCCTTACCATGGGGGATGCCCCTTCCTGGTGCCTCATCCCCCAGCCCTCTCCTTGCTGTGCTCCCTTCACCAGGCCAGGATAGGTGGGCACTGGCCCTGCACTCACCAGCCTGCGTGGACTTCCTCCTCGCCTTCTTGATGTCCTCCTCGGTCTTGTTGCTCAGCTTGATCTCCAGCTGCTGGGTCTTCATCTCCAGGTCTCTCTGCCGCTCCGTGAGGGCCTTCCGGGCCTGGGGGCCAAGGATATGGAGAAGCTGTTCACAGGGCTCAGAGCTATGAGGGCCCCACGGGTCATGTGGTCCAGCCTCCCCCTTTTCTAGATAAGAGTCCGTTCACTTCCGTTTTTGTGGATGATGCCACTATGGCTCCGAGGGGCTAAGCAGCTACACAAGGATTGCTCAGCCAGTCTGTTACTGTGCAGAGGCTGCAACACGTCTTCTCATCCCCATCTCTTTCAGCTCCATCCTGACTTGGCCTACAGCAAGCCTCTCAGACCACATTTTCATTGGGACGTGTGCATGTACTAGGGGCCAGGCAGTCCTAAAATCACAGTCTTTCCAGGATGGAAGTAACCACAGGTCATCTATGTCACCTCCCAAGCATTGCTTAGCAGATGGCAGCACCAGTCGCCCTATTCTGGGGCAGGACAAGGCCCTTTGGTGGCAGTTTGGTGCTGGCAGCTGGCAGATACCTGCAGCTGTCCATGCCCCTTCTAAACCCTTCCTAGGGCACTGGAGTCAGCCCCCGGGGAGAGCTCTCTTCCCTCCAGAGCTGGCCACCAGTAGCTCCCACCGAGCTCAGGCCTCTGACAGGGGAGTGATTCAGTCAGGAAGGAATCTGCCAGGAGAGGCGCAGACCAAGGGCCTTATGTGGTCAGGCAGCACATTCAGGCTCCGTGTCCCATAAAAACATGCATGCGCCTCATGTCACATGCCCGATGGAGCCCACTACACTTCCATGGCAGGTGTACCCTCTAGAGCCTGATCCCACTGGGCCTCTGAGCAGTGATCCAAGCTCCATGTGAAAGTAGCTTCTGTCTTCCCTTTGGCTGCAGGGTCAGGTAGGTCCCTCAGGTGTCGACTGGAGTTCCTCCACCCATCCTGCCCTGGCACACAGAGTCCCTGCTAGTTCATAGCCCGCCCTCTTCCAGCGCCCCCCACCTCCCACCCACCCAGCATCCTGGGCCCCCCACCTTCTCCACGGCGACGTAGCGGCTGGCGAGTTGCTTGCGGAGGTCAGCGATATGGTGGTCACACTTTTTCATGTCTTTCTTGAAGTTCTCGCGGAAGTTCATTAGGGGCTTCTCTACCTCGCTGTGAAGCTGTCAAGGAGAGGTGGGGGGGACACACTGAGGACCCCAGGGCATCAGCTGCAAGCAAGTGGAGGAGGGAGGGGGCATTCTCCCACCCCTTCAGGTAAGGACGGAGCCTGAGACAGTGGCCTGGCCCCTCCAACAGGAAGGGTAGAAACAGCGGCTGCTTATCAGGTTGTGGTTTAGGAATCACGCCAGGCCCCAGCGTTCACACTGATGGTTGGACGGGTTAGAGTCTGGAGCTTTTTCCAAGCCCGTTGTCAGCTACCTCCTTCCTCCTCCAAGCTCCCACAGCTTCTTGTGGCGTTCTGCTTGGGTGTCCATCTCCCTTACTTTCCAAACTGGGAGCCTTCCGGGAGCAGAAACCAAGCCACCATCTGTTGCTAAGCACCTAGTAAGTGCCTTGTGGATGCCAGTTAATTAGGTGATGTCAGGTCAATTCTATTTATTGAACATCTGCTATATGCTGGGCGCAGATACTACAAAGGTGACTGGATATGGTCCAAAGCTCGAGGAAATCGGTGGCGGGAACCACCTGAAGCTTGGTGGAAACTCACAGGGCCCCTCTCGTGGGCTGTGCTCAGGGAGGGTTTTCTCACCTCGCCAGTCGGCATAGAGACCGGTACACTTGCCATCCCACCCCAGGGAACCAGCCTCATAATATATGCACCAGAGAAAGAGATTTTTGCTCTGAGAGGAGCTGGGTGGCCTTGTGTTTCCAAGCTTTTTTTCTTTTTCTTTTATTCTTTTCCTTTTTCCTATTCTACTCCCTTTTGAAGAAGAACTTTTAGTTAAAACATTTTTTTTTGGTGTGAACATGATATGTATTTGGTAAGAAAACAGATAAATGTGGACACGTTGCGGCCAAAGCCAGGTGAGTAGCCTAGAGCCCCACTGACAGCCTCTCAGAGCCCTTACCCACCCCTGACTCAGCTTCTAGAGCCCTTACCCAACTCAGCCTCCTACACCCTCCTAACCTGGTCTTCCAGGACCCCTCCAATGGCCTTCCAGGGTCCTCTGGCCTCTCCCTGCCCCAGAAGTACCTCTGGGGAGCACAGCTGAACTTCCCTGGACAGACGACCCCCCACATGCCCACGTGGGGATCCTGTGACTTCACTCCTCTTCCTCCTCCCCAGGCCCTCATTACCTGAGCTGTTTCTCTGAACACCTGGAGGACTTAGGTGTTCCTAGTTCTACACAAGCTACACATGGCTGAGTCCCAAGAGGGCAGGAGCCATGCTGGCTTGGCCACTAAGGTGTGTGCAGCATCTGGCTGGAGCTGGCGTGGTCCGAGTGCCCTTTCACTACTGGGGAGAAGGACAAAATCTTCAATGCCTGATGCCCTGGGTGACAACACAAGGGTTTCGTTGTTGGATGACCTTTAAGGCTTCACAGGGAGCGAGCGAGCCATTCAAATGCCCTTCTCCTTCTTATTTCGTTGTAGATGTGTTATTTTTCTGAACCCCTGCAAGTTTCCTTGTACAGGAAAACACCCCCATCTGGTGGCAGTTTGTAAGATGCTACAAATTTGAGAGCTACCAAGGGCAGGAAAAGCCCTTCCTCCCTTTCCCACACAGATTAGGTGTTTGCTGAGAAGGCGGAGCTGCAAACCTCAGCCACCTGGGCACCTATGAGGGTTAACTTGCTCGGCCTGTTGACTCAAGTAACTCTGGGGTCTCTTTCTGAGGACCTGGGAAGCCAGTTGATTTCTAGACTTCAGTGTGCCCAAGAGTGACCTGAGGGGCTTTTCAACATTCCAGGGCCCCAGCCCCAGGCTCTGTGAACCTGCCGATACACCAAATATTTCCCCAAATTCCAAATGGCGTTCTGGAAACACAGTGCTACTCCCTGCCAGGGGTGATTCAATCCCATGGATTCTCCCTCTATATTTTAAGCACTTCCAAAAAAACATAATTTCTTTAAAAAAACAGTGAACTGGGTGTCTTTTTATACTAATTAACTCTTAAGTATTTTTGTTTAACTGGAAGTCAGAAGTCCTTCCAGAAGCTCGTCCTCATGAACTCCTGAGCTGGCCTTCGTGGGTGGGACAGGCGATCGGAGCCATCCAGTTTGCCTTTCTGCAACTCCTGCGCTCTCAGCAGCCACCTCCTTTCACCTCACACATCAGAAGAGTATAAGAGTAATCTCAAGGGAAATTTCAGAGACTACCTGGTCCAGTGCTTTTCAAACAGTGGGTTGCTAAGAGCTGTGAAATCAGGTTAGGACCAAAAAGCTGACTCAGGAGGACCGGCGTTTTGATGGGGGTAGACCAGGCATGAGGAAACTATGAGAGTGCATTTTAGGCAAAAAGGTCAATAGTGTTTCATGAAATGTGTGTGTCGGCCACGGACATGCGTGTGTATCTCTATGTGGATATTCGGTGTGGATACCTGCGTGTTCTGGGTGGCCACGTAAAATGTATTACTGCGCGTCACAATCAAATCAATTTCAAATGGAAACTCACAGGCGCTAGTGACTTGCCCAAGGTCAGAAAGCTTGTTAGTGAGAGCACTGACATAAAGCTCATGTCTCCTGACTCCCACTCCCCCCACAAAATCTTCTGACTGGATGAATACATGGCCTCTCATTGCATGATTAGATTTCTCCCATCAGAAGGCATTTTTCTGTTCTCCCTTCTTCAGCTAGGGCCAGGTGTAACTTCCTTTGTATATAGCAATGTTACTTCCTTTTAGCTGCCTGTTGCTGTTAACAATGGCTTGAGTGAGTACTCCAGAAAAGCCTGAAAGGTTGCCATAACAAAATTTCATTTCTTGCAGAGCTCATACCCCTGACACAGAAGAGTGGAATTTCAATGAGCTGTTTGGAGCAGAGGTTAAAATGGGTTTCGTGCATATGGAGCCATATTATCCATGGGAAATAAATCCCTGGAGCCCCCTTTTTTTTTTTTCAAAGAATAGCCTTACAACCAGTAGGCTGCTCCTGCGATTGCCTGAGGCCACCAACACTGACAACAGGCTGGAAGCAGCAGAGGTTCTAATAAAACAAAACCAAAAAAACAACCAACTTATTTTACATGCACATTCATAAGCCTTCCATCAGCTGAATGGTGACCATCATGTGGGGTCAGCTGAGTGGCTCAGTTAAGAGCACAAGCTCTGAGCAACAGGGTCGCCGGTTTGATTCCCACATGGGCCAGTGAGCTGCGCCCGAGCTGAGCTGCCAACAGGTGGCAGGATGGCTCAGCTGGTGAGAGCACGTACTCCTAACAACAAGGTTTCGGTTCGACTCCTGCATGGGATGGTGGGCTATGCCCACCCGCAACTAAGATTGAACACGGCACCTTGAGCTGAGCGGTCGAGAGCTGCCGACGGGCGGCGGGATGTTGACTGGACATGGAACTGAGCTAGCTGCGCCCTCTACAACTAAGATTGAAGGACAACTTGGCTGTTTCCCTGCCCCAATTCCCCAACACTGTTCCCCTTCCCCAATTCCCCAATAAAATCTTAAAAAACAACAAAACAAAACAAAACAAAAAATCATGTGCATTTGGAGGGCCAGCTGCACCACACCGGACAGCCCCTTAAAGAGGGCAGAGTGCTCCTCAAAACAGGTCTGCCTGGAGAGAAGGTCTGGGGGTCAAGTCTCCACTCAGCCCTCTTGTTTCCTCAGTAGCTGAGCCCTCTAGGCCATGAGACCATAGGCTACAATTTCACCTCTCTGCCCCTTCTCATTTGTGAAATGGAGATGCTGTCTTGCAGGGTAGATAAAATCAAGTGAGATGAGTTATATCCTACACGTCACCATCGAGAACACTTATACAAGTGTGATATAATAATAACAAATATATATTTTGGGTTTTGTCTCCTGGCCAGGGCTCCTAAAACCTTTGTAATTTCCTAAGTGATAAACATGCTAGAAGCATCTTTTGTTTTAATATTTGGTCATTGACCCCAGTTCCTGTCACAGGGATCCTAATTTCCTGGGTGATAGGAGTGTCTTTTGTTTGAAGGAGGCGACTCCTGGGGCTCCTGTACAGCTCCAGGATGGGGGCTGGTCACCACAAAAACCAAACCCTGATTCGAAGCTCGGAACTTTCAGCCCCACTCCCCAACCTCTGGAGAGGGCAGAAGGCCTGAGATTGAGTGAATAATCAATTGTGCCTATGTGATGAAGCCTCCATAAAAATTGTAAACGACAGCGTTCAGAGAGCTTCCAGGTCGGTGAACACATCCATGTGCCAGGAAGGTGAGACATCCCAACTCCACAGGGACAGAAGCCCCGGGGCTCAGGACCCTTCCAGACCTTGCCCTATGTATTTCTTCATCTGTATCATCTATCGCATCCTTTAATATATAATAAACCAGCAAACCTAAGTGTTTTCGGAGTTCTGTGAGCCATTCTTACAAATGATCAAACCTGAGAACCCCCAATTTGTAGCTAAGTCAACAGAAGTGTAGGTAACCTGGGGACCCACTACTTGCTACTGGCATCTGAATTGGGGGGCAGTCTTGTGGGGCTGAGCCTTAACCTGTGGGGTCTGTGCTAACTCCAGGTAGTTAGTGTCAGAACTGAATTATAGTGTAGGACACCCAGCTGGTGTCAGAGAATTGATCAGTGTGGGAAAAACTGTTTGGGTGGCCAGAAGTGTTGGTGAAGTAGTAATAGTGAAAGGCAACTGTAGGGGCAAAGAGCGCACTGGAGAGTGTTTTGTCACCTGAGTACTCTATAAACAATCCAGAACAATCCAAGGGTCCCGCTGATGTTAGGGGAGTGCCACCAGGATTCCTGGGGACCCAGCAGGAACCCTTTCACAAGCTCATGCAGACCCGGCTGCCAGCCCCACCCGTCACAGTGGCCGCCTTCCCATTCATCTCACCAGTCAATGGAGGTTTCTACCTGCAGAGAACAGAGCTGCTGAGGGCTGGGGTGAAAAGGAGACTCAGAAGGAACACTACCCATGATCTGCAGCTTAAAAATAACTTGCTGCTCTGTATGCGAGGCAGAACAGAGCCCAATTCACGAAGCTCCCTTCTCTCCCAGAGCTTGAGTGGCAATTTCCTTGTGAAGCGCTTGGTATATGTGGTTAGCACATTACTGTTAGCTGGGATTTCTCACTCACATCTATCTGGGTGACAACTCACTCTTTGGGCACTAACATCCTTTAGAAGTGGGGAGATGGTAATAGCACTGTTCCTTCCTTCCACCCCTGTCCTTAGCTTCTTCATGTGTCTTGGCCGTTGGAGTCATTCATTCTGCCTTCTGTGTACAGGGAATCATAATGAGGGGGTGTGGGGAGGCCTGGTCAAAGCCAGACTCCTGTCCTCCAACAGTGCACATTCTGTGGGGACCCCAAAGCCCAGCTTTGCAATTGCCGTGGGAAAAGTACTAGAAAAGAGACAGGACCTGTGAGCACTGAGCGTGGAAGCCCCAGGAAGGATCAGCCATCTTTTTGGGGATACTACCTTCAAATAGTAAAGGAGGTAGTGTGCCCCCTAATTTGAAAATGGGGGCTTGGAGAGGTTAAGCACTTTGTCCAAGTGCCCTCTTGTTGGGAGCCGGCTGCACCTCAGTGTCTGACATGGCCTATCACACTGCTATTGTGACAAATCCTGAAGCTCTGGCCGAGAAACAGATACTGCTTTATGTTTTGGAAAATTTAAATTCCCCTTTGGATGCCCCCAGTAGGATAAAGACCTGACACCCCTTCTTATATTGATTGTTTTATTTACTTTAACTAAATAAGTGAGTTTTGGATATATTACGATAATTCTGTTTTACTGTTAGTTTCTTAATGATAGATTCTTAGTGATAGACAAGTTATGCACCTTATAATTCTTAAGATCCTGTTTAGCCAGTAGTGTTTGAAACAGTTGCTAAGTAGTAAAACATCCTTTAAGTGCCAAGGCAGGAACTCAGCTCTGGCCATTATCGAAGAAATTGAAACATAGTTAGGATAAGTTAGTCATTAGTGAAGAACAGATCTGGCTGTACCCTGTAATAGAAACATCGTGAAGGAGTAATATTCGGAGAAAAACAAACTTCTAAGGAAAATAGACCCTGGGAAGGAAGGAACATTGAAACTATGTAGAAAACAATTTCCTAACGGGTAAAGGTTTAAACGGAAAAACAACTTTGGTAAAAACAGCTCAATGACGTATATATTACCTGCCCAGTATAAAAAGGACAGGCTGTAAAAATAAAGTGAGACATTAATTCTTGAAAGCACTCCTGTGTCTCCGCATGTTCTCGCTGACGCCGCCTCCACCTGAGGGAACCCCTGGACTTGTGGGAGCTGGTCTCCCACATCCTCTCAGGCTGTCATGTCTGACTGGTGATGGTGGGAGAGCAGAGGGAAGAGTGTGGACCCCCAGAGGCAGAGGTCGCTGGGAATGGAGCCACTCTCAGGGGTCTCTCTTCCTTCAAAAGGCAAGCATGCTAAGGGCTGGCCAAGTGGCTCAGTTGGTTAAGAGCTCACTCAAGAGTTTTAGTTCTGAGCAACAGCAGTTCAAGTCCCGGCCCGAGCTGAGCTGCCGCTGAGCTGCCAACAGGTAGCAGGATGGCTCAGCTAAAAAAAAAAAAAAAGGCAAGCATACTAGTGGATAGCTCCACCAGTCCTGCACATGTTAGTGTGAAATATTTCACTTAGATACCTGGTTTATTCTTCTCCTGAAAAGTAGCTAAGAGCCTGGGAGGGAATTTGGAGATATGAGCCAGGGAGTAGGGAAGAAAGGGTCATTTGGAAACATGGAGAAATCTTGAGAGAAAATAGGCCTGAAAGAGTAGGGGACCAGGAGGAGATAGTCGGGGGTCCCATTCATTCATTATTTCAGAAAATGTTTACTGATCATCTACCATGTACCAGGCACAACCCTGAGTACTAAGGGGAGAGTGAACAGGAAAGAAACATCACCGTCCTCAAGGTCACAGTGCTAGAGTCTTTAGAACCAAATGAAAGAAGGGTCAGTTACCTAGTCTGAAATGTTGTAACAAAAACATAACAAATCTCTCTTTGGCATAGTCTAGTCTCTCCTGACACCAAGCAGCAGCAGAACATGGCAATACATTCTTTCGAAAGCCCAGCAGCACTACGGCAGGTTTTCATCACTCAAAAGCCCACTTGGGGAGCTGAGGGGGAATCCACCCTCATCTCATAAGCAGCTTGTACTGGCTCACCAGAGCTGAGTGTTACATTTGCAGGAATTTTGTGAGCTGGTTGCTAAAGACAGCCAGCATTGAAAATTACTGATCTAAATTTAAAATTAATACATTATATTAAAAACAAGAGTACTAAATACTCAGCATGTATCACTTCCTAACTATACCTTACTATCATCCATGTTCTCGGTGGATATTTCTGGTTATTGGCACTATTGGATTGGTATGGTGGAAGCACTGTCCAATAGTGTGCTACTATACATAGATTCCTGACTTGAAATTTACATCACAGAAATTGGCCAACGCGATACACGGAAGAGACAGCTGTTCCACATTTAACAGCACACCCTGTTTAAGACCAACCCGGACAGGCTGTGGGGAGGAGTTACCTTGGAGGAGAACTTGAGGTGAACTTCTGCCTCATCTGCAAGGCTCTTCTTCACCTGTGCCCACGCTTCTCCCAGGGAACTGCAACATGAAGGAGACTGTCAGACCTGGAGATAGCCACACCGACCTCATGTCTGAGACCACAGCCCTTCCTGAGGCGGGACAGTGGGCCTCAACCCTGAGTCTTGGGGAAGCATGGAACACCCAAGGCTGTGGGCTTGGATGAGGCAGAGGCCAGGCACAAAGCAAACTTGAGCATTGCATTTCAACCCATGGGGCCAGATGAGCCATCCTGAACTGAGCTGAGAGAACAGACTACAGCAGACAGCCAAGTGGCTAGAGAAATATCCAGAAACCCAGGACTGGGGAGATGCACGGAAGACGGGATGCAAGGGCCTCGGTACCTGGCCAACTGCTCCCCCATGCCTTCCCATCACCCCTCCCTGGTTTGTTGACAGGGGGCGCAAACGCCTGCTGGTAAATCACGGAGATGGGACAGATGCCTTCTTGGGGAACAGCCCTTCTCAAATGAAAGGTACCACACACAGCCCTGTTTGCAGGCAAATCTCCAACAGCCTGACTTCCGGGGCGGGGGAAGGGCAAAGGTCTAGGGGCCTCCTGGGGACACCCACACAGCAGAGAAGGCTCTCCATCGTCATCTGCAGGAGTGTGCCTCTCCACTGGTACTGATTCTGGATTGTGAGCCCTAGTGTTGCACATAGCTCGTTAGAAAATGGTAGTCCTCTAAGCTAAATCACTTTCACTGCAAGATGCTTCAAGTAGAAACTATCTCCTGAAGTCCCCAAGACTGGAATGTAGGCCCCCAGGCTGTACTGCTGTTATTTACAACTCTTTAAACTTGCCAACCTTCCAAATGATCCCCCTGAGACCTTGTTCGAGACCTCTCCACCCTGAATGTTCAGTTGACTTCATTTCATCAAAAAGCCACTTCCTCCAGAGAATTCATTAAACTCCAGTGGCAAAAGCTGATTAAAAGATAGCATGCTGTGAGGCTTCTGAGTTTCAAGCAGAGAAGCCAGCAGTTGAGAATTACCCAACAGAACAGAAAGGATCCCTTTGATCACAGTCCAGGCCTGTCTGGCTGTAGTGCTGGCTGGGGCTGAGGTGGGTGTTTATGGGAAATGACTGACTGATTTTATCTAGGAGTCTGGAAGCAAAGAACGGTCCCCTCGGGTGATTCCAGCTGGGGAGCCCACCAGAGAAGAGATGGAGTGATAAACGGGGCAATCCAAGTTGCTGACATTTGTCTTGGCCTCAAGGGTCTGAGTTCCAGGGAACTGTACTGTGGCAGCTCTGGGTGGCCTGGCTCATCACCTGATTCGCCAGGTGGGTAGGAGGTCCAGGGGGAGGAGGAGGTGGAAGCAGACATGGTCGTCATATAGATATGGAAACAGAATACCAGGTCCAGAAACAGACGCACAGGGGCAGGCGATTGATGTGCAACAAGTATGCCAAATTATCTCAGTGGAGGACAGACAGTCTCTTGACAAATGGTGCAGAGACAACTGTATATCCATAGAGAATGAAAGGGATCTTCACCTTGACCTCATGCCATACACAGATTATCTCAAGATGGATCACAGACTTAAAGTGAAAGTCAACACGACACACAGCTTACGGAAACAGTCTTAGGAGGAGTGGGAACTTGATTAAAGGGTGATGGAGAGGGGTTCCTCCCTGCAGCTGAGCTACATATGAGCCTGCAAAGGTGAAATAAAAGCCCACAAACCAAAAGGCCCTGGGTAGGACTGAGAATTTGCAAGTCCATCAGAAGAGGATGTGGTCATTAACTGGCCCAGTGACAGTTGTAGTGGCCTGGGAATGTCATCTGAGGGCTACGGGGAGGACAGAAGGAAGCAGTTACACACTTAGGACAAAGTCCTCAGCCCCACCTCCAGGCTGGACATTCACAGGTAGGAGGACATCAATTAATTGGCCTGTCTGAGCTAATACATCCTCCATGCACCCATCCCCACACCCACCCCCCGCCCCCATATTCCAGTCCCCTTGGAGCCACATGACAATTTAGAAAAAAGGCAATTCAGAAATTCTTTCATTTGAAGAGATTTTTCATTTGATAAGTTAATCCCATTTCCTTTCCACACAGGAGAGAAAAACAAAGGCAAAATAAATAACTGGATTCTCTTTATTTACAAATGTGCACATATCCTATGGAATCTAATTTGGATGACCTGCAAAAGCAGCTCAAGTCTCCCCCATCAGCACCTTCTTAGGCTGCCCCAAATTTCTAGGCGGACTGGGCTAATGTCTAAAGCTGTGTATAAATGCAGAACAGCACTGCAGCACATTGAATCGGGGGCCTCTGTGAGTTGGGGATTCCCCCCAACAGTGCCTGCTGGAAGGAGAGTGTGCGTGGGGTTAGCGCATGCGTGCAATGGCAATGGGGGCAATGTTTGCGTCCATGTTGGAGGTGAGTAGCATTGATGCACGCACGTGAGTGTGTTGAGTTGCCCCATGTTTGCAGGTGTATGTGTGTACAGCACAGTGGTACAGGCCTGACTCGTTCCGCTGGGTGCATATGCTGTGCTTGTTGGCAGGACGGAGTGTCCTTGGCAGCAGCCAAAGCTGAGGAGTTGGAAGCAGGAAGACTGAGGCAGCACTGCAGTCACAAGGCATGGTGATACCTAGAAAAGCTCCCTGCCCAGGCCAGAAGGGCGATTCCTCCACGAGCCCCCTTCCTGCCCTGTCTCAGGCCCAGTGCATGAAGCAGAAGGGGGCCTGAGGTAACCTCATTTATGTCTGTGGAAGAGGACACTGGCCCTGAGGGCAACCCTGGGGCCTGTGGCCAGCGGGTTGGTGAAAACCATTTGGAGACGGCCTGTTGGCTGCACAGCAAGCCCATGCAGAGGCCTTCATCAAAGCCACATTTGGCTAGGAAAGTCCCGTCCCCTGAGAGATGTCAAGCCATCGGGCAGATCTGGGCATGTTTAACATCACAGCCCTCTGACAGCCACGGCCATCCCACAACAGAATGTCTTCCATTCTCTGGGGCTCACTTCTACTGGCAGGAGGGGTTCCGACACTGCCCTGGAGGGAGGTGGGACAAGACAGAGGACCTCGGGAACCTTTCAGCTCTAACTTCCTGAGACTTTTTTTTTTATTATAAAGGTGAAATTCACATAACATAAAATCAACCATTTGAACGAGAACAGTCCAGTGGCATTTAGTATATTCACCATGTTGTGCAACCACCACTTCTATCTAGTTCGTAACTATTTTTATCACCCTATTATGGACTGAATGTTTGAATCCCGCCCAAATTCTAACGTTGAAGCCCTAACCCCCCAGTGTGACTGTTATTTGGAGATGGGCCCGCTATAACAGTAATTAAGGTTAAATGAGGTGGTCCCTGATCCGACAGGATGCGTGTCCTTATAAGGAGACAATGGAGACCTTGCTCTCTCTATTCACCAAGGAAAAGAAAGGCCATAGGGAGAAGGCAGCTGCCTGCAGCACAAGAGGCGAGCTCGCACCAGACACCAACTCTTCTGGCACCTTGATCTTGGACCCCAGGCCCCCGAAATGTGATAAATTAAACTTCTATTGTTTAAGCCACCCAGTCTATGGTACTGTTATAGCAGCCCAAGTAGATGAACACATAACCCCACCAAAAGAAACCCGATGCCCATTAAGCAGTTACCCCCACCGCACCCCACATCCCTCTTTTTCCCCAACCCCAGTCTACCACAAATCTTCATTCTGTCTCTACAGATTTATCTATTCTGGATATTTCACATACATGGAATCATACAACACGCAACCTCTGTGTCTTGCTTCTTTCAAATCATCCAGAGTAGCACGAATTGGTACTTCATTCCTTTTCGTGGCTGAATACTATTCCATTACACATCCTTATATCCAATGTGCATACAGCACAGTTTATGTATCAGGTCATCCCTTGATGGACATTTGGGTTGTTTCTACCTTTTGGCTATTGTGAATTGGGATGCTAGGAACATTTGTGTACATGTATTTGTTTGAATATGTTTTCAATTCTTTTGGGTATTAACCTATGTGTGGAATTGCTGGGTCATATAGTAATTCTATGTTTAGTTTTTTGAGGCACTGCCAAACTGTTTTCTACAGTAGCTGCATCATTTTACATTCACACCAGCAAGTTGAAACTCTTTGTTAACAAGATGGAACAGAGAAGGCTGTAGTCTTCCTTCCACTAGGGATCCTTCTGTAGCTGGGAGGGTGGAGCTCCCCCAGCCCAGGTCCCGCCCAAGGAGGTCTGGAATGTCACAGCTAGAGGGGAAGGGGAGCCTGGGCCTTTAGACAGGGTCCTAAAGAAGGGGCCAGGTGCAGAATCCTCTCACGCCGTTTCCTACCAGCCTGCCCTCAGAGAAAGGGGAGTAGGAGCGGCCATCTGGGGGCTGGTGCCCAGCTACAAGAGGACAGGGAGGAGGGGGTCCTGACATACTCCAGCATATGGCAGGAGGCCCTTGGCCATGAGAGAGAAGAGAATGTGGAAGTGCCAACCCTGAACATGCATGCCCACACCTGGAGTCATGGGCGCCCACCTTGGGCCAGGCCTGTGGAGACTTTCCCATCCATGGGACCATGGCAGGAATCAGGGATTGGTGAAAAGGGATCCCCCTTCCTGAGTGTCCCGTCTTCCTCCCCACTCCCATCACTGTCCTCCCCACTCACCCTTCTTCCTGTGCGGCCAAGGAGTTCTGAGAGAGCTTAGCTAAGTTCTTGGCATAGTCTTCTTCAATCTTTATCCTGCAAAGGGAGAAAAGCCAACACGTCAGCTCTCCAGTGCTAGACTGTGGGTCCCACCTGCAGCCCTGCCACTTACTAACCGTGTGAAGGAACGCACTAGACCATAAGCTCTGAGAGTACGTGCCTCTTGTCTCTCTGTATGACACACAGTGGGTGCTTAATAAATATTTGTTGAATGAATGAATGAAATCATCTGAACCTCCCTCCCTTCAATTGCAAAATGGGCTAGTCTCACCTGTCTCCTTAGGCTGTGAAGATGATAAGCGGTCATTTGCACAGCTCATAACACAGAGCTGGACACATGGGAGACCCTTCTGTGAATGAATGGAACTTGTGATGGACTACAGGGACACGGGGACACGCAGTGCTGTCCTCCTCTCCCTTCCAGCCCTAGTGCTCTGGATTTAGACTCTCCAAGGTGGCATCGGCCTCTTAGAAGCAGAAACAGAACCTCTCCCTGGGGTCTCCTAGCCCCCAGTGCCTCTAAGTGTCAAGCCTGCAAGGCACAAGTATTTCCATGGAAACCAAGGCAGTGCTCGGAGCTGGATGATTCCGTTTCCCCAGAGAGGGAAGTTCCCTTAGATTTTGCTTCCAGCAGGCAGGCCCTTGACACACTTTCAAGGCAACTCTTGGGGGAGTGTTCTGTATTATCTGGCACATCCGTGTTCAATGTGCTGTCAGAGGTATGGCTGGCTGCCTCAGGGCCATGTGGGAGATGGAGGAGCTGTCCGTGTGACATCAGCGCTGGCCTCAGAGAGCCCCTGGTCCATCACTTGACAAACGGGAAACATGCAGAGACTTTCTGGGGCTGCAGCATCCGCTTCCCAGCCGCTCAGACGCTGCTGCCCAAAAGGTGCGATGATGCAGAGACGGCAGCATTTTGAGTAATAATTATTTCTCAGATTTGGCACTGAGACCCACAACCTTGTTTCTGCTCTCACTGCTTTGCTTTCAACGCCACCTCTGGCCAATCTCTAGGTCCTCTCGGGCCTATCCCCTGCCTCCATTGCTTCTTTTCCATTCACTCCGCCTTGAGCCCCCAGCCTCCTCAGGATGACAGGGACGGTCAGCCTGAAGCCTCCAGCCTCTGGCCAAGAGATCTCTCTGGAAAGCAGAACTAACCATGTCACACTCTGAACTTCAAACCTCCAAGGGCTCCGCAGTGCCAACCACACACAACCAGGCGTGAGGACCGTCTGCTCTCAGCATCACCTCCAGAGCCAGGGCCCGCATCATCTCCACCCCGGCCTGGCTTCCTTATGCTGAGGCCACAGAAACCACCAGCTATCTGTCCCCTGGCCCCGCACCCAGCTCTCGCCTCTCCCTGCTCTGAAAGGCCCTCCCTCTGAGATCCCAAGTGGACTGAGACAAACAGCAGGAGCCTGCATTTCTAAGGGAAGACTGGAGTTCTCAAACGATAGGGTCCATTTATTTGCAAATACGACATTTTTATGAAAGTATAAACCATAAGTGTGTTCAAACGCTGGCTTTCACAAACAAGCGTTTTGCTGTTCGCCTGTTTGGTACTATGGTTTTCTTGCACCTGAGCTATGTAACCTCTCAATTCCCGACCCATATAATGGGTCATAAAGATTTCATTACATAAATAGAAAATGGGCCTCCTAAGGAAAAGAGATGCTTTAAGATGCCAAAGAATTATTACTTGAGTATTGTTGTTATAACTAAAAAAGAAATATTTTTAAATATATTGCAATTTACTGTAAATATTTCCAGCGTGCCCTGGAACTCCAGGTGGAAAGCTGTGTGTGTGCATGAGCGCACATGTGTGGGGGGCCAGGGTATGTGCATATGGGGGTGGTAGAGATGCAGGTGTGTGGGTATGTCAGTGTGTGCTTAACGAGGTCTCTGAACGTGGAGAGAAGGCAGTAGGAAAGGAATCTCTTCTCTTGTAGTTTTTCCCATTTCAATTAGGCTGTACTTATTGTCTTCTCATCTATGTTCAGATAAACCACTATTATAATCCCTGCACTTATCATAATCACCTTATCTAACTCTCCCATTAGACTGAGCAATTTGACGCAGGGAAGGGATCGGCGGGGTGAGGGTTCTGTATGCCTAGGCCTGGGACACAGCTTTGGTTCAAAGATGAATTGAAAGGTAATGTTCTCCTTTTTGGTTATGATAAGGGCCAGTGCTTCAAATGAAGCACTTACATTACTTATGCCATGGAGGTAAGTAAAGGAGCCAAGCAGTCTGTGTGGGGAGACAGTAGGGAGTGGTGGAGACTGTGGCAACCTGGGAACACATGCTCCCCCTACAGGGCCACCTGCTACCCAGCTCCAGCCAATTGTTTTGTAAGGGATGCAGAGTCACTGTTCCTGGACTTACAGCTTTATCCAGAGATGCTAGCTATCCAGATTTTAATGTAAACAACAACCAATTAAAAAATATATATTGGTTCAAATCTTTAAAAACACTACATAGGCTAAAGTGACACATTTGCTGGCCAAATCTGTCCCGAGGGCCATGGGTTTATGACTCCAGTCTCATGCTCCCCGTGGTGCTACCCAAGCCCAGTACTGGATGTGCAGTGCTCATTCCTGATGCTGACTCCCTTCGGGCTCAGGGGCCAACGTGGATGTGCCACCAGTCCCCGGAGCTGGGAGGGTCCAGGCCTCACCTTTCCCGGATGAATTCTGACATTTCCTTTTGCATCTGTTTGCCCTTCAGTTGTTTCTGAAGCAGCAGTTCAAACCCAGCCACTGTACCATTGCCTTGGGGGTCCTTCTTATCAGCCTAGAAGGGAAACAGAAGCATGAAAGATTAGGTGATGGTTGGATCCATAGGGAATGGAGTATAGGGAAGACAGACCCTAGAAGGGACCCAGATGTGCCTGGCAACACCAACCTCAGCATGAGAGGGGGGATGGGAGCAGCAGTCTTGGCTGAAAGAAGAGAAGGAAGGACAAGTGGCCAAGAGCACAGGTTCTGATCCCCAAAGTCCTGCTACTTTCAACTGGGCGGCTGCTGAGGTTGGTTGGACCCTCCAGGGAGTCTTGGCATCCTGTCTGTAAGCTGGGACAGTCTGTGACCTTGGGGACATGTGCCCCTAACCCTATGCCATTCCATTCCCTGTTAACTTCTTGCACTGGCCAGGCAGTGACATCCTCCAATGCACATTCATAAAAGATCACAGTGGCTTCTGGGGAGAAACTGGATTGAAGGGAAGCCAAAGTGGAAAAGGGCAGGCTGCCAGGGTTGACATCCCAGCTGGGGGACCTCAGCTGGGCAAGTTCTTGACTCACTCTAAGACTGAGTTGCTTCCTCTGTGAAACTGGAGAAATAATGGCGCCTATTGCATATGGTCATTTCGGGATAAATGACATGTGAAAACGGCTGAGCACTGTATTAAGTACTCAATAAATAGTATCTACTCTTAGGTATTTTTAAATAAAAGTCAGGCCTCAGAGAAGATGGCCAAGTCGATAAAATGGAAACTTAGTATCCAATTCATTTTGCAAGCAAATACTCTTAACATTTCAAAATTAAGTGCTTTTGATTTGTTTTGCCTGTACTTCCTCAAGGATGCCTGAACACCTCTTTCCTGCTCTCCCCCAGCCCGACCTCCTGCTTGGCACCCCCAGTATGACATTTATCTGGCATCTGCTCTCACAGCCACGGCTGTTGGAGAACAAGTCTCAGAGCCTCCCCAGGACCTGGCTGGCCCCTCTTCCATCACAGCCTTTCGCCACCAGGAATCCAGGGTCAAATGCTTTGATACTTAATGTAAGGAGTTAAAAATATGTCCTCTGACATCACAGAGAGGTGTAGGTGCGCCGGTGAGAATCCTGAGCCAGGGTCAGCTCAGCCACTGGGTGACAAGGTCAGGTCTTTCCAATCCTAGGCTATGTCCTCCCACCCCCACCTCCACCCTTGAGATAGGAGTGGTTTGTATATTCAAGATCCCTTTCAGAACAGACATTTTAGGAGGGGAGTGGAAAAGGGTTGCTGATGCCTGGAAAGAACCCCACTTATCACTGTCAAGTAGATGAAAGGTTTTATGGACACCTCCCAGCTCGCTCCCAATGTGAGATTCTTTCCTCGGCTGCCTCTGAGCCATACTGTAGTACCTTTCGTGATGGAAAAATCACTACCATATGGGGTACACCATGTCACAGTGGGGCTGCTCTGGCCATTTAAAAGTTTCTCCAAGTACATTTAGGATTTGTGCATTTTGTCAAATGAATGTTATATGTTGATAAAAAACCAAAAGAAAAATTATCCAAAATACTGAGCCCCAATCTGCCCCCCACAGGGGATGGATGGATACGAGCAAGTCATCCACCCCGGGAAAAACCAGCCTGAAGCAATGGGCTTTAATGACTGTGTCAGCAGAGCTGGGCCAGGGAAGTTTTGCACACTCTGACCCCCGCTCACCCTCACATCTGAACTCACCCCTCGCTAGGTCTGCCTGATGCCAAAGCCAGAGCCCTATTTATAATATTTGCTGCCTCTTCGCAGATCTCTGAGGATCTGGAAGGAACACAGCTGGGCCAAAGAAATACAGCTGGGCTGATAGGAACTGTCCCTTCCAGGAAGCAACAGGAATCACTGAATGTCTTCTAAAGCACAAGTGATTTGGTAGAAAGAAAGAAGCACTTTTATCTCGCGCTCAGTTAGCAAATCTAAAAAGGTGTGGGTGATCCATTCTGCATAGTGGTGAAAGAATATATATATATATATATATATTTATGTCCTTCAGGGTCTTTGCAAAAGTTTCTTGTTTTAAGTGTACAATTCAGTGGTTTTCAATGTACTAACAAGGTTGTGCAACCATCACCACTATCTGATTCCAGAATGGGGCAATCTCATTTTGAAAGTCATTGCTGACTTTGAAATTCAAATGCCCTGAAGTAGTCCCAGGGTTTCTGAGGAGGTGAACTATGCATTTGTCAAAAGATATTTATTTAATTGTGGAAAAATACTCATAACAACATTTACCATCTTAACCACTTTTAAGTGTGTACTTCAGTGGGATTAAGTACGTTCGCATTGCTGTGCAACCATCACCACCACATCTCCAGAACTTCTTTTAATCTTGCAAAACTGCAACTCTGTACCCATGAAACAACATGCAAAAGTTCTGGATCCACAAGAGTGGTTAAAGCAGAAGCTCTCTATAGATCCTTGTGCCCAACCTCCTTGTGATTTCGATGGAAACAGGGAGGCCCAGTAGGTGAAGTACTTGTTCACGGTCACGTATAAGAGTGACAGAGCAGGTCTGGAGCTCAGATTCCTTTACTGAAGTTAATTCTAGTCTCCTGCCTTTACTGAGCAAAAAAAGTGACCCTCTAGCTTACCTGCTTTCTGGCCAGGATTTCTGTATTGCCACGAATGAAAACCCTAAAACTGTTCTCAGATTTATGGAATGATCTGGACTGCAAGAGGGTCTTAAGTTCCTGCCTCGGATGCTAAATCCACTGCCAGCCCTTTAGGGGCCAGAAGAGGCCCCTCTTCCTTGAGCTTGTGGTCCTTCACACACCCCTCCTGAGTGTTGACTCCTGGTCGTTGGGGCCACAGTGTTCGGGAAACTGAGGCATCACTTACCCAGAAATAGTCACAATAGCTCCACTCGGTTGGTTTCAGCAGCTGCTGCTCCGGCATTGTGTCTGGGTGAGGGAACGTCACACAGTTTATCTGTAGAGCACAGAACAGAAAAGAAAATGACTTGGCTGGAGCGTTGGGAGAAGCTGGGAAGGCTTTGCTCCTGAGATACAGCACTACCAGGTCTCCCTTTAGCACTCACACCCGCCCCAGAGGGGATGGCTTCGGTACAAACTCTCTGGAGGGCAGAATAATAGGCAGAACGGTATCAAAATTGCCAACATCCACAACCGCTGACCCAGCACTTACACTCTTAAGAGTCTACCCTACAGATATATTTGCACATGTGTGCAGTGACATACGGACACGGTTTTTCCCCACACAGCGCTGTTTGTAGTAGCAAAAGGTTGGACATAACTCCGCTGTCCATCACCAGGGGAACGGTTAAACAAAGAAGAAGACAGGTAGGCACCTATGGAAATTGTATCCACGGTGATAGACACAGCAAGAAAGTTCTTATGGATTGATAAGGAAGGTGTGTCAGGATGGACTAGGTGGTGGAAGGGAGGGAGCAAGGTGTAGAATACTGCTTACTGTATGCTACCATTTGTATAAAAAAAGGGGGGATGCATACACGTTTGGTTATTTACATATAGAATACTTCTGGAAGCTGATAACGTCATTTGCTTCCAAGGAAAGGAATTATGTGGCTGAAGGTCGGGGTGAGAGGTTACTTTCTGCATTTTATCTCATAAGATGTATTCTATGAACAAAAGGTGGTTAAAGTTATAATCCATGTGCACATTGGGGGCTGGCCCTATCCCAGAAGAGTACAGTGGACACATTTCTGGGATCTGTCTCAGACTTTTCTGCCTGGGCATGTTCCTGGTGGCCCTGGTTTTCCCCACTTGGTGGAAGTGGTTTTGCAATTGCTCCTGCTGATGTCGCTTCAAGCCCTGATCCCGTCCCATGGAGCCCTCTTCCAGGGAGCTGGATAATTTGGGTTCTCTGTGGAAGCCTCAGAGCCTCAGGGAGGCAAGGCCTGGGCCCTGTCACTCTTTAAGCCTTCATCGCAGCCCCAGCATCTGCTGAAGTGGGGGCCATCACATGGTCAAGGCAAGAACAGTGCAGAAATAGCTAAGACTTGGAAACAACCGAAATGCCCATCGGTAGATGACTGGATTAAGAAACTGTGGTAGGGCCGGCTGAGTGGCGTGTTGGTTAAGAGCTGGCTTGGGACACCAGAGGGCCCCGGTTCAGATCCCACATATGAGGGCTAGTGACACTGCCCTCTACAGCTAAGATGCTGAACAACAGCTCAACCTGGAGCTGGGCTGCCATGAGTCACTGG